CCAATTGTATTGTTGGCAAAGTGTGTCGCCGAAGCCACTATGTTTTCTGCTTTTGTATATATAAGCACCTTCATAGCTCAGTTGGTAGAGCAGAGGACTGTAAGAAGTTCCTGAAATGCTGTGGTCCAAAGGTCGCTGGTTCAACTCCAGCTCCAAACACCAGATTTCATTGCTGTATGCACTGTTCAACCTTTTTCATTGACCATGTGGGTCCAATTGTATTGTTGGCAAAGTGTGTCGCCGAAGCCACTATGTTTTCTGCTTTTGTATATATAAGCACCTTCATAGCTCAGTTGCTAGAGCAGAGGACTGTAAGAACTTCCTGAAACGCTGTGGTCCAAAGGTGGCTGGTTCAACTCCAGCTCCAAACACCACATTTCATTGCTGTATGCACTCTTCAACCTTTTTCATTGACCATGTGGGTCCAATTGTATTGTTGGCAAAGTGTGTCGCCGAAGCCACTATGTTTTCTGCGTTTGTATATATAAGCTCCTTCATAGCTCAGTTGGTTGAGCAGCAGACTATAAGAAGTTCCTGAAACGCTGTGGTCCAAAGGTGCCCGGTTCAACTCCAGCTCCAAACAACAGATTTCATTGCTGTATGCACTCTTCAACCTTTTTCATTGACCATGTGGGTCCAATTGTATTGTTGGCAAAGTGTGTCGCCGAAGCCACTATGTTTTCTGCGTTTTTGTCTATAAGCACCTTCATAGCTCAGTTGGTAGAGCAGAGGACTGTAAGAAGTTCCTGAAACGCTGTTCTCCAAAGGTGGCTGGTTCAACTCCAGCTCCAAACACCACATTTCATTGCTGTATGCACTGTTCAACCTTTTTCATTGACCAGGTAGCTTGATTGTTATGTTGGCAAAGTGTGTCGCCGAAGCCACTATGTTTTCTGCGTCTGTATATATAAGCACCTTCATAGCTCAGTTGGTAGAGCAGAGGACTGTAAGAAAAGAAGTTCCTGAAACGCTGTTGTCAAAAGGTCGCTGGTTCAACTCCAACTCCAAACACCAGATTTCGTTGCTTTATGCACTCTTCAACCTTTTTCATTGACCATGTGGTTCCAATTGTATTGTTGGCAAAGTGTGTCGCCGAAGCCACTATGTTTTCTGCTTTTGTATATATAAGCACCTTCATAGCTCAGTTGCTAGAGCAGAGGACTGTAAGAAGTTCCTGAAACGCTGTGGTCCAAAGGTCGCTGGTTCAACTCCAACTCCAAACACCAGATTTCGTTGCTTTATGCACTCTTCAACCTTTTTCATTGACCATGTGGTTCCAATTGTATTGTTGGCAAAGTGTGTCGCCGAAGCCACTATGTTTTCTGCGTTTGTGTCTATAAGCACCTTCATAGCTCAGTTGGTACAGCAGAGGACTGTAAGAAGTTCCTGAAATGCTGTGGTCCAACGGTCGCTGGTTCAACTCCAGCTCCAAACACCAGATTTCATTGCTGTATGCACTGTTCAACCTTTTTCATTGACCATGTGGGTCCAATTGTATTGTTGGCAAAGTGTGTCGCCGAAGCCACTATGTTTTCTGCGTTTGTATATATAAGCACCTTCATAGCTCAGTTGCTAGAGCACAGGACTGTAAGAAGTTCCTGAAACGCTGTGGTCCAAATGTCGCTGGTTCAATTCCAGCTCCAAACACCAGATTTCATTCCTGTATGCACTGTTAAACTTTTTCATCAACCATGTGGGTCCAATAGTTATGTTGGCAAAGTGTGTCGTCTCAGCCACCATGTTTTCTGCGGTTTTGTCTATAAGCACCTTCATAGCTCAGTTGCTACAGCAGAGGACTGTAAGAAGATATTGAAACGCTGTTTTCCAAAGGTCGCTGGTTCAACTCCAGGTCCAAACACCAGATTTCATTTGTGAATGCAATGTTCAACCTTTTTCATTGACCATGTAGCTGTAATTGCTGTGCTGGCAAAGTGTGTCGTCTCAGCCACTATGTTTTCTGCAGTTGTGTCTATGAGCACCTTCATAGCTCAGTTGGTAGAGCAGAGGACTATAAGAAGGTATTGAAATGCTGTGGTCCAAAGGTCGCTGCTTCAACTCCACCTCCCAACACCAGATTTCATTGGTGTATGCACTGTTCAAGCTTTTTCATTGACCATGTGGGTCCAATAGTTATGTTTGCAAAGTGTGTCGTCTCAGCCACTATGTTTTCTGCGGTTGTGTCTATAAGCACCTTCATAGCTCAGTTGGTAGAGCAGAGCACTGTAAGAAGGTATTAAAACGCTGTGGTCCAAAGGGCTGGTTCAACTCCATCTCCAAACACCACATTTCATTGGTCTATGCACTATTCAAACTTTTTCATTGGCCATGTGGGTCCAATAGTTGTGTTGGCAAAGTGTGTCATCTTAGCCACTATGTTTTCTGCGGTTGTGTCTATAAGCATCTTCATACATCAGTTGGTAGAGCAGAGGACTGTAAGAAGTTCCTGAAATGGTGTGGTCCAAAGGCCGATGGTTTGACTCCAGCTCTAAACAACAGATTTCATTGGTGTAAGCAATGTTCAACCTTTTTCATTGACCATGTAGCTGTAATTGTTGTGTTGGCAAAGTGTGTCGTCTCAGCCACTATGTTTTCTGCGGTTGTGTCTATAAGCACTTTCATAGCTCAGTTGCTAGAGCAGAGGACTGTAAGAAGGTGTTGAATGGTTGTGGTCCAAAGGTCGCTGGTTCAACTCCACCTCCAAACACCAGATTTCATTTGTGTATGCACTGTCCAACCTTTTTCATTGACCATGCGGGTCCAATAGTTATGTTGGCAAAGTGTGTCGTCTCAGCCACTATGTTTTCTGCGGTTGTATCTATAAGCGCCTTCAAAGCTCAGTTGGTAAAGCAGTGCACTGTAAGAAGACATTGAAACGCTGTGGTCCGAACATCGCTGGTTCAACTCCAGGTCCAAACACCAAATTTCAGTGGTGTATGAACTTTTCAACCTTTTTCATTGACCATGTAGCTGTAATTCTTGTGTTGGCAAAGTGTGTCGTCTCAGCCACTATGTTTTCTGCGTTTTTGTCTATAAGCACCTTCATAGCTCAGTTGGTATAGCAGAGGACTGTAAGAAGGCATTGAAATGCTGTGGTCGATAGGTCGTTGGTTCAACTCCAGCTCCAAACACCAGAATTCGTTGGTGTATGCACTGTTCAACCTTTTTCATTGACCATTTGGGTCCAATAGTTGTGTTGGCAAAGTGTGTCATCTCAGCCACTAAGTTTTCTGCAGTTGTGTCTACAAGCACCTTCATAGCTCAGTTGATTTAGTGAGGACAGAAAGAGTTCCTCGTATGAAACACTGTACTGCGAACATCGCTGGTTCAACTCCAGCTCAAAGCACCTGATTTCATTGGTGTATGCATTGCTCAACCCTTTTCATTGACTATGTGGGTCCAATAGTTATGTTGGCAAAGTGTGTCATCTCAGCCACTATGTTTTCTGCGGTTGTGTCTATAAGCACCTTCATAGCTCAGCTGTTCGAGCACATGACTTTAAGAAGTTCCTGAAACGCTGTGGTCCAAAGGTCGTTGGTTCAAATCCTGCTCGAAGCACCTACATTTCATTGGTGTTAGCAATGTTTTGGTTTAATCACATTGAAATAATGCCAAGCCTTGTCTTTATCCGTCAGCTCCTCCAAAATGTAAAAACACAAACAAGATATCTCCTCCTTTGTTTTCCAACCATCAATTTTTTATTCACCCAGTCAGTGGCGGTTCTAGACCAAATTACTCCCCGGGCTGCTGCCCTGTTCGCCCGTGCTTAGAACCGCTACTGCACCCAGCCTAAAAGTCCTTATTTTCAGTTCTGGGTCCTTGGCAATGACTGTTGGGTACAAACTGCAAAGCTCTGTTCTGAAGGTAGGGCTGAGCTTTTCATTGACCGTGTGGGTGGATTAGTTGTGTAAGCAAAGTGTGTCGTCTCAGCCACTATGTTTTCTGCAGTTGTGATTAGAGCCACCTTGATAGCTCAGTTGGTAGAGCAGTGGACTGTAAGAAGTTCTTCATATGTAGTGCTGTTATTCCAAGGTCGCTGCTTCAACTCCCGCTCGAACCACCTACATTTCATTGGTGTGAGCAATGTTCTGGGTCTAATCCATAGACTGTATATTATATGGACAGAGTCTGCCTCCTCGCTGGCTGAAGCCACTCGGAGAACAGCACCCTCTGATGGTGGGCTGCAGTACAGATCATAAATCCCGCCTCTGCCAACAAAGTTTATGGGACTGCGGACAAACTTTACAAATTAATCACACAGAACATAATTTTTTCTCCCCCCTGCTTGTGATGTTGACATGTAGTTATTGTAAGACTGGTTTGTGCCCAAGTCCTTTTTTTCTGTACTGCTCCGTTTTTAAAAGTTATTAGGGGGTTCATGTTTTCTATAATTGACACCTGGTACAGCCTATGGGCGTTCAGGGATTGCGTAGCTCTCCCGGGGGGATACGCTGTTTGTTGTGTGGGCAAAGTGTGTTGTGTCAGCCACTATGTTTTCTGCACTTGTGATTAGAGCCACCTTGATAGCTCAGTTAGTAGAGCAGAAGACTGTAAGAAGTTCCTCATATGAAGTGCTGTCATTCCAAGGTCGCTGGTTCAACTCCGGCTCTAAGCACGTGCATTTCATTGTTGTGAGCAATGTTCTAGGTTTAATCACACAAAAAATTATAAATACTATGCTACAAACTGGGTTTGAAGATTTGGATAAAGTTGCATAATTAATGATCATGATTAATGTCTTGTTTCTTGGCAAAAATGAGTGAACGAGTTTGTCATGTTATTGACAATATTTTTCAGCAGTAACTGAGAGCCAAGAAAAGTTTTGCTCATTATTTACCCCTAGTCTTCTTCTAGGGTAAAATAAGGAGCTGCTTTCTTCTGAGAAGTTTCTTTGTCAGGTTTGTAATTCATCACAAACTGTCTGTATCCAGCAAAATAAGACATATTATAAGCCATTTATCAAAAGACTCCTTACCTCATTCAGGACTCCTCAGACCAAACTGTATAGGCCCACTTTAGGAAATATAAATTCATTCTTTATTGTGGGGTAAAATACAGATTTAAACAAACACCTTTCAGGACTGAGATTACCAGCACAGTAAGAATGTAATACAAGCAAATTTAGTTTTCCAAATGTGTTTGCTCACAACTCTTAATAGAAGTTGTTGCAAAGTCAGTTAAGATAAGTACGCTGTTGAAACTTCACCAGCTGAAAGTCAATGTCAGTAGTAGTGAGAGGGTGACTTTTCCAACAGAAAGTAAAAACCAGTAATAGTAGATGGGAAGTAAATGAGACGAGTAAGGCGTTTTCTTTTTTAAAACAAGTTATTTAAATTGATCAACTGATGACAAAAGAAGTAAAATAAGGTACAGATATTAAAGCTTTACAGACAAGCGTGCCAGCAACATCAACAAGCTACAAATGGCCCTTTTTATTTTGTTGAGTAAAAGCACAAAATCAACCAATTCTGTTCAGTCTCTTGTCAAGTCTAACAGTCCTGTTGTTGCTGAATTATTTTACATGCAAGCATAAAAACTGTCAGTACAGAAGAAGAGAGAGGTCCATGTTCGACAGGATAAGCTGCTTGCTATTTTCTGACGTATTAAAAGACGTGTGCTTTCTTTCAATGGGTTTGGGGGCGGAGCTCTAAAAAGCAGGTAGCGGTGTGATTGGCCAACCGCTGCAAGGGAGAGCTTTGGCGAGGCTGAAGCTACGAAGCCTGTTAGCCGGTCTTTCTCCTGGGTAGAAAAAGGAGCAGGAGCTCCTTGGGGTGGCAGCAGGTTTTGGGCTTTACGAGGAAAGTGAGGCGTTGACATGGCATCAAGACTAACTGTCTCTCTTCGTCATTTTGTCCACCCTTCCTCCCGGCTCACATGGACTCAAACTCATCAATACGCTGCTTGGTGTTACCCTGGCGGATCTGGCGAAGGGTTTTGTACTTGTCCCTGCCTGCTCGGACGTTCTCAGCGTGCAGCATATCGTTCTGGGTTTTCTTGGTATCATCACGTGCCTCGGCCAATTCTGAACTCAGAGCCTAGAAGGAGATACAAAGAGAGAGGTGATGAGGATTAAAAAACAAAAATCAGATCTGACTTTTGTGGCACAATTATAGCTTGACTTTCATGGCTTGCCTGGACTAACACTACAGTCAATGTTTGGGATTTTTTGACCCCAAATTCAATCTGATAAACTCTAGATAACAGTCCGTCTAAAGATTTGATGCATTATACATATCTGATGCATGCAGTCTTGTTTCCAGTCTCTAGTTTTCCGCCCTACCTGTAGCTGTTTCTTGACGCGTTCATTCTTCTGGGCCTCAGTGATGCGTTCCTCTTCGCTGCGGTGGCTGCTGACACCGTCACAAAGCAGCTCGGCGCTCGCCTCGGCGTTCGTTTCATCCTCTTCGTCGTGTTCTGGAGCCGGTGGAGACGTCATGGCCGACTTCAGCTCCTCCCGGGTTTTCTCCAGGTCATCTTGTGCTGACAGAGCCTGTAAAAAAAAACATCTTTCTTCATAGAGAGTTGGACAGAAATGGACAGGTGGACACACGTTTCATCACTAACTTTAGAAAATACTGATTCAAAAGTCTTAAATGGCTTTGCTATCCTGATCAAAATCCTTTTATTCTTTAAAGCTGGTATTAATGTACTTGTATAGAGGGGGCAAAAAGTAAAATGACACAAATTAAATCCAATCTGCTGCCTGAAACATTTTAACTCAAAAAAGTAGGTTTCAGCTTTATTGTTAAAAAAAAAGTAGAGGATAATCTGAGACGATGGAACACGACAAACACACACATTTGTACATTTGTGCCAAGGGAATACATTACTTTGTGTTGCCACTCTGTTGCCTCCTCCTCTTTTTTCCTCTTGGCGTCCTCCAGCAGAGCGATTTTGGCTGTAAACTCTGCCAACTCAGCAGCCTGTTGAAACAAAACAAAAGCCAGTGTAAAGTCACTGAAGTGAAAACACAGTGGTCCGTCCCAAAAAACCTTCAAAAGGTTTTACAGGTTACAGCAATATGAGAGGGACGGACTGTAACATGAAAGAAACCCACTGTGTGACTTCTTATGGTTTGGAAAGTAGAAGTTTTGCTTCACAAACCATCACTTCTTTATGATTTTTGATTTTAAGAAACTGGTTATTTAACATCAGAAACCCTGATCAAAAACAACAGAACAGTGCTAAATCTACTGCTGCTGTGTTGAGTGTACAGCTTAACATAATAGAACAAATACGGTTATAAAGGAGTGAAAGGAAGATAAATGGTTATATATATACACAACCAATGATATTGTATGACCCCAACTTTTTCCTTTACTGAAGCAGGATCGCCAAACTACAGAGTAAACTTGAAGTTAGTTAAATGTCGGTACCAGTTGTTCCTGGTTCTTCATCTGATCTGCCGCCTGTTGAGCCAGTGTTGCCTTGGCCTCCTCAGCCATCTGCCTCTCCTTCTCCAGCCGCTCTGCCTCCTCCTTCGCCCGCTTCCTCTCCTGCTCCAACTCCAGAGCTTTACGAGTCTGCTCCTCCAGCTCTGCATGTACACAAATTCAAATTTATGAGCGCCACACCACATTAGGCCATTATGATAAAAGACGATGAAGACATGCCGAATCTTTTTATTTTCACAAAACCTCCTGCTATTAAAGATATCTTAAAAACACCATCGTTTTAAACCTTTTTGATTATCATCCTTGAAAACTGAAACATTTATGCAGCTGCAATTTCTTAAATACAGTGAAGAAGCTGCATTTATGTAAAGACATGAAAAATGCTGCCTTCTGCTGTCTGAAAGCGCTCCTCCTTGTCTCCTCCGCTGTATGCAAATTCAGAGCAGCAGCAGGAGGTAGCATGTTTGTTGTACACAAGCAGGCATTTTTGGGCCTGCATGTTTTTCTTGGCCTGACCTTTACGTGACACTAGTGCTCCTGTTTGAATGATCAGTCAAAAAAAAACCTAGTGAACCAGCTGCAGGGAGAGAGTGTCAAACACAGAGAAAGACACAGTAAACATATGACCTTTGAAAAACGCAAATGACGGCTTTAAAATGCAGGAGTAGTCAGTCTGGGGACAGAAGCTGTACAGGCCTGCATACATAATACTTACATTTTGATTTCGTTTACAGTCAAACGTGAGGTTAAAGTTTTCAACCTATGTGTTTTTTTAACCAGTATAGATAAAAAAGTATAGTTCTTCCCCCCAAACACTATACAGATAGTTAAATATCATTCAAAGTAGACTTTAACTCAAAAGAAGCAAACAAAATTTTAGTAAGACTAAATGTTTTATATCCATTTCATGTCATTCATACATACAATGATCCACAAACATGTTTTAGTGTTTTTAACAAGTTTGGGGTTCTTGTTTTTTTTTAAAGGCACAGTATGGAGTTTAAATCAGTTGTGCCTGAAACAGCGACTGAAGCCTCTTTATCACCTTTAAAAGCAAACAGGACCATCAGCAACAAACTGGAAATTTCTCAGTTGTAATTTCTGATACCTGAAACCAGATGAGAGGGGGTAGGTGTCAGACCAGATGACTGACAGCAGGCTGCAGAAAGAACCTTTTTTTAACTTTTAGGACGGCAAAACTGAAAGTGAGAGATGCATATGACTTTTAAAAGCAACATGATAGGTTTTCTGTCTGAAAACACAGCAGAAATTTCACTGGGGCGGAACTAGAACTTATGTTGTCCACAGGGGGCCCTGTGAGTCCTGTGAGTGTCAGTACATGAGTGTAACACTTTGCAGCATTTAGCAAGGAGAGAGGAAGAGTAGAGGAAAAACTCCCTTTAATAAGAGGAAACCTCAAGCAGAACCAGACTCATGTTAGACAGTCATCTGCTGCGGCTACAGCAATGGATTTTAAAAGGGGATAGAGGGAGATGCACAAAAAAATCCAGAATAAATACATCCAAGAGTCTTCATTCTGTCAGACAGATCTCCAAATAAAATATTGAGGATTTTGAGATGATGAAAGTTCACTGTGGGGTAAATGTGACTCGCTCCTCATGCTGTACCAGCTACGTTATAACTATGTTACTCTGCAGGAACACATCCCACTGTTGCCAAATCATTGCTTCCTGTGATCGAGCTTTTTTCTTTAACTGATCTGTTGTTATGAGAATGACCTTTATGTGGATGCTGATGTCTATTAAGTGTAGGCAAAAACTTCTCAGACAACTTACTTTCCTGTGTGCACAAGACAAAAATTACAGTTTTTGCAGGACTCCGGGGGACTCATCTAATCTAATTCAGAGTGAGGGCAGTTTTTGATTTATCATGAGATTTTCAAATCAAATCAATCAACTTAATGAACTTTAAGTGATTGAAATGATGAGCGAAACTCAGAGGTAAGCGGGTTAATCTGGCATTAACCTTAGATTCTCTGACAGCTCTGAAACAAGATCTCACTTTGGTCCAGGAGTGTTTACAGTTCGATAAAGGCGCAGTCGTACCTTTCTGAGCTCTCTGTGTCTGCTCCTCGATCTGCCTCAGCCTCTCGATCAGCTCGTCCTTCTCTCGCTCTATCCGCTCCTTCTCCTTCTCTGCAAGCTCACGCTTCTTCTTCTCGTTCTCCAGCTGTGCTCTGTCGAAATAACGCAGAAAACGATCACTTTAATTCACATTCATTACTCTCTGTAAGAGTCAAAGTAGCTCAGCGTGATAATCGTTTTAAAGGAAACGCTGGGAAAATTTCAAGTCAGTTTTTGAAGTGTTGTCAGATTTCAGTTTCTTACACAAGTGTAAACAATTAATACGCTAGAGAATAATTTCTACCACTATGAGCTAAATTTGTATTGTAGGATCTATGAATAGGTTCAGGAAATTCAGTGTTAGATATTCTGTGTTATGAGTCTGTCACGGCTGACTCCTGTGTCATGACTTAAAAGGGAACACTTGACTATAAAAGTAAAATAATATAAAAATATCCACATCTTTAACAACTGTTAAGCAGACTATTTTGTTTTTCTCTTCCACCTAAACATAAAAAAACTACTCGTAGGACACAAGATTTTGTTGTTTTCAGTGCAACACTGCCCCCTACTGTTCATCCAGCCCTATCAATCAACTCACTTTAAAACCCAACAAATAACCAGTTTATTCTGAACACTTTGCGGTAAGTAGAAAATACTGATGATGTTTTTTTTTTATTAAAAATCATCAGAAATGACTGAGCCGCTGACAGCCTCACAGTGTACACTATAGTCCTTGTAGCAGCAGACTCCTGGCCACGGCCCTTTGCTGCATGTTTTCCTCCTACTCTCTTTCCTCCTGTGCTTTCTGTCTCTCTTCAGCTGTCACTCCTCAAAAGGTCAAAAATGCCCAAAAACATAACAGAAAAAAGGAATGGCTGATGTTGTAGAAAAGAACATTAAAGCAATGAATGATCTTAGAGTGAAATGTTTTCCTGGCCTCGCCCTTCAGTTCTTTTCCGAACTTCTCCACCCTTTATTAAGTGATTTTTAAGTGTCAGACTGCAGACACACCTAAAGGGATGATTCAGTAATTTTTTAAGTGGGGTTCAATTCACCAAATGTGAAAGAACGTGTGTGTGTGTGTTACATTCCCAAATACTGCAAGTAAAATGGGGCCTTCTGATGGTTAAGTGCTGCAAAAAATTCTCAGTAGAGTGTTCGCTTAAACCGAGACATGTGCATGGGTATGAGTCTGTCAAAATGAGCTGAATTATGTGTAGTGTTGGCCCCATATGCAGAAGAAATGCAGCCTAGCTTGCGACCTGCTCTTTCCAGCAGTTTTTCAGCAAAGGTAGAAGGACCAGCATCCATTGAGACTTAAACACTCTGTAACTCCTCCAACCTTACTTCAAAAATATTGAAATATCCCCTGGAAATGGAGGAACAGTGTGTGCAGTGTACCTCTCCATCTGTTTGTGGTGCTTCTCCTCTCTGGCCTGAGCCTTCATCTGCTGCACCTCGATGGTGTCGGGCTTCCTCCTCCTCATGTACAGCTCGTGGTTTCCCATACACAACGCCAGGATGCGTTTGTTGATCCGCAACCGAGGAGCGTAGAAGACAAAGTCCTGCGAGAGTCAACAGACGATGTACACTGAAATCAGTACAAAATTAAAAAGTAGTATACAAATAATAGATTCAACATCATACCAACACTTACTGGAGCTTTTTTATCGATGGGTTTGATCACAAATTTCTTGTCATTGAAGGAAATGTTTCTGATCTCACTCCAGGGGAAGCCAATCTTCGGTGACAACCTGAAGAAACACAGACATGATTTTAAAATGTTGATTCATTTCTTAAGATTTTTTAATCCAAAAGTTTAAAGCAAAGTTTCTAGACGCATGGTAAAGTTCTGAGTATTTCGAAACCTTCAGTAAATATTCAGCCTGTTCTTCTGCTCTTCCCAGTGACACCAAAAGAGGGCGCTGTTCTCAAACTAATGCTTTTCAAAGTCATGAGGGGAGCTGAGAGTCGACTTCTCGTTTTGAATGAGCTGGAACATTGAGACGCTCACAGAGAGGACAGGACTCCTCTCTTTACTGCATTAATAACATTTCACAGTTTTTTATTCAGCTGATTTTTCTCTGAAACGGCAGCATCTGATGAATAATACATACTTTCTGAGACATACTTATGGCTGTATATCTAAGTTTTAACACATTTACATACTGGTGGAAATTTTCCATTTTATTAAGAGTTTTTATGAGAGCTTTATTCACCAAGCTGTGAGACTCCAGCAATCAACATGTTTCTGAAAAGACTGATCAGTGGTGAGACTTTCAGTAAAATTCTGTTTATGGGCATTGTTGGTGTCATCAGCATAAAGTCCTCTTGTGGTTTTCTCTCTTCCTCTTTAATGTCCACTTTAAGTTTCGATGAGATGCTGACCAAATCAACTAAACCTTTTTCTGAACTCTTTGGCCCTTCAAAACAAAAGCACGGCTACTTGTAACCTGCTCTTACATTTGCATATTTCATAAAACGGTGAGCACATCAGCCAAAAGTGATTTATCTTTGTTTCGTTGTTTTGATTTTTGGCCTGGAAAGAGTCTAAATTCTTCAATAATTTACTAGTAAGAAATGAATAAGAGAAAACATGAAGCACATTATGAAGTAGCTCTGACTCTGTGGCAATCTTGGGACTCCTCATTAGTGTTAAATATTTATGAAGTATGAAACTGTGATGAATGAATCCTCACTTAACTACACAATTTCAGAAGTATGTCACCACCGTGTGTGTGTATGTTTGTGTGAGTTGGTTACTTGTCTTCGTGTTCGTAGATGTTAAGTCCCAGAGCATCGACTCCCAGCCACAGCTCCGTGCCCTTCTTGTTTTTGATTTCAAAGTAGTTTACGCCGTACATCTCCAAGTCCTGAGCGATCTTCAGATACTCCATCATCGCGTCTTCCCTGCACACGACCGCAAAACAAGGAGAAAAAATGAGCGAGTCGCACACATATAATCCCAAATCCACAACACTGTCTTATAAATCATAACCAAGGCGTGACACTAACTTTTTTTTCACAAGAAGCACATGTGCCCACCCCTAAGTTGAAAAGTAAGGAGCACACAAAGAACTTTAGGGGCACAATGAAAATTGATCAAATAATGTGTGTCTTATTGGTCGACATAAGTACTATTATATGAAACCAATTTTAGGTCTTTTGCTCACATGAAATGGAAGCTATTGAAGAAAATGTTCAAAATTTGCCTTTAAATTTAACACAAAAAGAACAAATTAGGGAAATAAAGAGGCGTGTATTATTGTCCGACCTTCGTACTATTATTTGAAATCAGTTTTAGGTCAATTGGTCACATGACATGGAAGCAGCCTTTTTTGAGAACATCAACCGGTAATTTATTGATGGTCCCTTATCCAATCTACCCGACGTTGACAGCGAGGGTGTTGAGTAGATTTGATCGCGCTGCTGTTGCTATTCCAGGTTATGTGAGTTAGAAGACACCGGTAGATCCACTGTGAATGTCTGTCGAATATCCAACCTAAAACTAACTTCGCTTGGTATTTACATGAAAAAACATTTGTTGCCTCGGCTGATTTTTTTATGCGCACATGTGCCCCTAAATACATTTTACAAATTTCACATCTATTTTTCAGTCGCAAATGTGAGTGACATGGTCGCACAGTCGAGCCCTGAGAACCCACAGCACACACCTGAGCATGCCTCTGTGCTCCTCGTGCCAGGTCTGTATTCTGTCCTCCCACTGCTCCTTCGTCAGCTTGTGCTGCTCGAGAACTCTAGAGAGTAAAGATGCAAATGAAACAGAAAAGCTCATTTTCATTTGTCGTCATGTTTCACAGCATTTGGGAGGAGGACATGTTGAGCACTGTGTTGCATCCCTTCTTCTTTAAACAACACTCTGTAAGTAAATGTTTAAGAGGAGGCGGAGGAGAACAGTTTCTGGAGTCTGAAAGTGAAAGTTGCTGTATAATGAAGAATAAGCTTGTTATATGTTGCACCTCTGTGGCAGTAGCCGGTCGGAGGCCAGGTATCCCGGTTTGTGGATGTCTTTGCTGTAATCTCCATATTTGGCCTGAACAGCGTACGAGGCCACCAGGACGGCTGTCTCTGGAGGACAGTAGTTCTCATCGTTCAGAATGGCCTCCTTCACCTGCAGGGAGGACACACACAAACACACGAAACAGATGCAGAGAGATGATACAGAAAACCACAAAAATCCAGATCATTTTCAGAACATATTCCTCTCATTTGAATTTCCTTTGACCTGATTAGACACGTATTTTCATGAGCACTAAAATCTCCCCATACCTGCAGGAAGAAGAGTTTCTGTGTGATCTCCTGGATGAGCTCTTCAGACACATCCTCTGGGAAAAACTTTGCTCTGAACTTAAACTGCAGAGGATTTTCCTTCTTCACATCCTGCTGGGTCACCTGCAGAGAGAAAACCTCCCATATCTTAACCTCCGTGATTTTCCTTAACTTGTCTTTAAAGTATGTAAACACATAAATAAATCTGTAGGATATCAGACTATCTTTAAACTAAGATTAAACAGATATTAGATTTCAGTTTCCGTTCAGCACATCAAAGTTAAAATTACACACATAAGTTTACTTTGAAAGCTTTCAAACAGGATCGAGACCTAACACCAGGAGGCCTCTGTAACTTCAAAGTTATCATGTTTACAAAAGGACGATAAAAACAGGACTGAGGAGTGTGTATGTGGTGTGTTAGACGCAGCATTTCTTACCTTCTTATTGAGTTTGAGCCATGTGATGTAACCTTTACTGTCTGTGTACTGCAGGCCAAAGAACCAGACCTCTCTCAGACCCACCGTCTTCACCACCTGAAACCACACAGTCAAGTTCACAACCAGTGATGGGAATGTCCCTGACATGTGCAGACGCAACAGGCAAAAGAGTCTAAAAACCACATGTTCAGCATCTCTCCAGGGGCCATCTATAAGTGTTATTTGATTTAACTCTTGCAGTATGTCTGGCGTCAAATTCACCTATCTGTCGAAGTTTAGAGGCAGATTTCAACCTTCTTTAAGTCTCTTCGCTTCATTTCCTACTTTCTATTTCTCCCTTAACTTTCTTGTTCAAGCTCAGACGCTCACTCATTCACAAACTGTCGCCCTGTTGATACAGACTAAGAGAGACAGAGGGGGCGTGAAGGTCCCTGAGGGGATGCAGACACTTACTGAGACCCTAATGTGATTTACACGGTCAATACGACGGCGCTTACTATTATATAATTAACTCTCTCCCACGCTTAGATTCAGACAGCCACGCTCACACAAATGCATGAATAACCCATGTGTATCAAATAATCCCAGCTGTAAACAAATACAGAAAGAAACCACAAACATCCAGCGAAAACATGTTGTCAGAAATGTGACCGTACACACACACACAAACATAAAAATCCACTTAAACACACAGGGCCTCCACTGGGGCTGGGAATGCCGTGTGAGGAGGCTGATATGCAGATGCTGAAGAGCTCAGCGTGCACATGTCATGGAGAAGCCTCAGAGCGATCTGGGAATGCCGGGATGAAAGAGGAGGAATAATAAGTGACAGGGAAGAAAAAAAGACGGGCAACATGAAAGTGAAACAGAAAAAAAATCAAGCTGTTTGGAGACAGAATGGGAATCCTGCTTTTGATAACTGATGACAACACTTTGAGGCAGACGACTCTGAAAGTGTTCCCGCCCGGTGCATCAAAGTGCTCTTGTTCATGAGTTGCTGCTGTTTCTGTTAGTGTGATTAAAAAGCTTTCCTGACGCTAAGACCTTTCATCATTCGGTGTGTCAGAGTGTGTGTCAGTGTGTGTGGGTGTGTGTGTGTGAGCTTATGAGTGGTTAAATTAAGCCTGACAGCCTCTTTATCAATGGAGCTCTCTCTTCATTCAGGTGTAGCTGCACCATCTACAAATGAAAACACGACTGAATGACTAAACGCTTCAAGGTCGTTCCTGAGATGACTCATCATCACAGGATTCACCATATTACTGCTGGACATGTGCTTTCCTGTTACTCAGTGTTAGCAAGAAGTAACCAAAGAGGTTGTACTGTGGTAGACCTGCCAGATGGTGGCTATGGTGCATCTGAAATTTTAAAAGAATACTTAAAAGCAAATGACAAAAAAAGTTACGTAATGGTTGCTGAAAATACTTTGCAGTAAAATCTAAACATGCACGCCACACTGCTGCATCATTGAAACATCCACTAAAGCTTCTGCTCCGGCTTTACACTGTCTGCACCTATGCCAAAGTGGTCTTCATTGTAGTAGCCTCTGCCATAATAAGCACTTGTGTGTGTTGCACCTAACCTATAAATGCAAGCTGGATGAACAATTTCACTGCCGGTCTTATCATTTCACTTCTGCTACATCTTCTGCTTGTTTGTGTACAGGAAACCACAGTGACTGAATCCAAGTACACCATGTTTTCGGGGTGGGGGTGATCAATTTTAATTTATTTACCTGTTTATTTGAATATTTTGCTGAAATATTGCTTTATAAAGTGCGAAGTAGATGGCATGGCTAATTTGCGACTTCCGTCCCTGGTTAGGTTTCAAAAATTAAAACAGAAATCCCAGAAAACTTAATTTAAAATTACAGTCATTAAAACAAAACAAGATCACTATATGGGATGAAATGTAAGACCTCAACAAAGATAGAGACCGGCATAAAGATACATGTCATAAATCAAAGGTATTATTTTAATGTGTAGTTAAATTTTGAGGAGGTGCGCTACACATCACCATGCTATATATGCAGGCTTCAGCTCAGTACATGGCTAAGCTAACCTACAGTATATGCTCCAGCATAGATTTGATGCAGAGGCATAGACTGTATATACTAAGAACAACTTGATTCCGCCTTCCGCCTATATACGGATTTGAAGCCAAAAAACTCTGTAATTCCGTGTTTTTCTCCATTTCCTGAAACCAACATTGCGCAGTTGCATTGTACGCATTCGGCGGGAGAGTCGCAGAGAGTCGCTGTGATGACACTCGACTCAAACAGCGTTTCCCCAGGGTGAGCTATGCAATCTTCGAACACCTATAGGCTGTATCAAGTGTCAATCATAGAAAACATGAACCCCCTAATAACTTTTAGAAATGAGCTGTATAGAAAAAAGAGGACTTGAGCACAAACCAGTCTTACAACAATACATGTCAACATCGCAAGCAAGGGGGAGAAAAAATTTATGTTCTGTGTAATTAAAGTTTGTCCACAGCCCCATAAGGATGGCTGGCGGAGGCAGGATTTATGACCTGTACTGCAGCCCGTCACCAGGGTGTGCTGTTCTTGGAGTGGCTTCACCCAGCAAGGAGGCAGACAGCGTCCATTCAATATACAGTCCTTGTGCAGAAGTATGAATCATACTATAAAGTTCAAGGAAGTTAATTAGCTGGTGTATTCCTCCTGCTGTCAGAAGCATCTTGTAAAGTAGAGTTATCACTGCAGCCACACAACCCAACCGTTAATCTGAACACATATCCTGAGGTGCTGGCATCACATTTGGTTTTGTATCCCATCTCCCTCATTTATACAGCATCTCAACACCCCCTGAAACCCCCTGAAATGTTTTTATATGTCCCATAATTTCAGTCAAGCATAACTGTGTGTGGAGGGGGGACATCTACTTGATCATTATCTATTTTTAGTAGATGATGGTCACATGAAACTTAACAGCGCCCCTGAGGTCTGTCATTACTTGTACACCTGCTAGTTTGCTCACTTCCCACCTTCAGTTTCCTCTCACTAATTCTCAGAACTTAAGAGCCTGTTTAGTCAAAACGAAAGTTCATCTAGTTTGGTTTTGAAAATGTTTAGAAAGAATACAGATAGGTAGAGATACTTTGATGCCCACAAAATTGGATATAATGGAAATGCAGCCAAGAATATAAATTACAGATATAAAGCCAAATTATGGAAATACAGCCAAGATATTTCAGCCACGTGTCTAAAAATGGTTTCGTTTAGGTGTTTTTGTTCCAACTAGAAATATCATACTGTTTTATCTGTTTAGCCAGTTAACCATGAAATAGAGAAATACAAAAAAAAAACTTCACCACAAACACCAGAAATCATTTGTTGTAGTGAAAAGAAAGCTGTTTTGACATAAACATATCTAGTGCAGATTTGTTTATGTTTCATACCACATCATAAAGCAGAACAAAACCAGCACCAAAATAGCAGAAAACAAAGGTTCTCTCTTTCATCTGCTTTCCTCTCTCTGTGTCACCACAACCCCCAACAAGCCCTAGAGCCTGACATGAAACAATGCTGAAAGCTGCTCTTTCACTTCCCAGACTCACATTCACACACAGACCCACACCATCCACCTAACACTTACATCCACTGTCTTCCAAAAGCTCCTAGTGTGGACAAAGAGCACTTTGTCATTTTTTTTATGCAACCAGCACCGACCATAAGCCAGGCAATCACCCACTGGCACACAAAATGACTCTCAGTTTTGCTTTTTCTCGGTAGTTTGTGACAACGTGATTCTTCTGGAGGTCACAGGGTTCAACTAGTTAAGTAAACCCAGAGTCTGAATCTGGACTCTTATTCCCTTCTGAGTGTTTTTTTCACCACTCTTGCTGCTGAAAATATTGGTTCTCAAAGTTTTCTCTGGAGTTATTGTCCTCATTTTGCACAAATATGAGTCCGTGTGTGTCTTACCTGGTCAAAGAGCTGTTTGCCGGTCGTGTTGGGCTGGATGGCAAACTCCAGCTCAGCGTCCATAGTGGTGACGCGCACATTGATCTGCAAAATAAAGAAATATGGTTAAAAAAACTGATCATTAACTAAAACAAATGTCCTAAGACACATGCTGTGATCCTGGTCCCTACTTTAGCCGTAGTCCAGACTGGCTTTAAACTAGAGGAGGGAGAAAATTTTCGATGAACATAAGTATTGCGATTTTTTGTTTTACAATCTTAATCAATTTTTATGTTCAAAATTTGATTTTTTTTTTCAAATTTAAGAATAAATCTTAAAAACTGACTTACATGTGATGTGTATTTTTTGGGGAAATATGGTTCCTGAAATAGTCCGTGGACAATCATAATCATTCAAATGTTTCACTGGTGTTAAAAATGCAGACTAAATATTGAGAAAATCAACAATGTCGAATCGGTAGAAAAGCACATCGTCCCAGCCTTACTTTAAACTTAAAACTTTTCTTTTGTCTTGTTTTTACCCTTTTTTAGCCATAATATTCTTTCCATCATGTACTTCTAAAGGCAAAGCAGGCAAAAGGAATTTAGAGGAATAATTTTTCAGGACATTTGAAATATTTACCACCATTTAAGATTCTTCTAGCAACAAAAAAAACAAAACATTTTTACTACCACAAAGACTCCTTTTCTGATTGGGAATGTGAGATATTCATATGATGGTTCATTCACAGACAAACGTTGCCTCGAAGACTGTTAATACATTCAGTTTTGACAATGTAAAGAAAATGTGCAGATCATTATTATACTGCTGTAGTGTGAAAGGATCCAGCATTAGCTGTGGTCAGTATGAAATATCCTTGCATGACAATTTGCACACCAGAAATGATTTTTATTATACTGCTGCACCATGAGAGCGTTAGCTGAATATTTTAAATAGTATGAATATGAAAGCAGATCTGTGAGGTTCAGTATGCAGCACGCAAACATGAGGTTGCTCTGGCAATGGTGCACACTGGCAGGGCAGAAATATGCAGTATGCTTCTCCACATTATGAACTGAATGAACTTACACACAATACTGCTGCTGGATACGGTGTAATGTGTGCTGATGAAAAAATACCAGAATCCAAAAATATTTATTTAAACGAAAGTATCAGTGACAATAACAGAGGAAGAGAAAATACAGAAACAATATGGATCGAGAGATGAGTAACTAATCTGATTAAGTGTAACAAGAATGGTTTTAAACACTATTTTAAAGGTTTTTATAACTAAAGGAAGGTGAGAAAGCACTTAATCCAAACTAGTTCAGTTATTCCTCTGCTGGTGGGACAGCCTGTGCCGGCTGTATGTGTGTCCTCTTATCAGACCTCTATAAATATTCCTCTCACACTGTGAACGCACACACACACACACACACACTCTAACACACATATATTGGCGTTACAGCCAGTCTCCTTATTAGGTGTCTGCTGTTTACACTACTCATCCTCCTGCCAGGAGGCTGCAGAGAAGAAGCTACTTTCACTTCACTCTGAAGAGGGAAAATCATTAAGAAAACTCCACTTAGCACTTCCAGCTCCTCTCTTCAACCAGCCATGATCTATAATTAAGTTCCCACACATGAATTTTTAATAGAGGAGTAAACTGTGTATTTTATCTGGGGGATAAGAGGAAGAAAAGAGGCCATGCAGAGATGTTTAGACTCTCTGTGAATCATCACAAATTACAGATGTCTATAATCTACAAATATTCACAGACCATGTGCACTAAAACATGAAAAAGTGAAAGACTACACCAGAAGAATAAACACAAATATTTGGAGTATGTGTACTGTCCCTCTGGTATGGTAATAAATGATGCCCAACTGGGTATTTTAAAGCAAAAGAAAGGACAAATCTCAAAACAAAGGAGGGAAAACAACCACATGACAAGCAGAGGATGAAAAACCAAACACTAAAGTGCTGCAAGATGTGAGTGTTGCAGTCTTTTAAAATGAATGCACCCCATCTGTTGTTTGAGACTTTTACTTGGTCCCAGTAGAGGGTTCTGCTCTTAATGAATAATTTTTATGGCTTACAGTTGTATTTCTTGTTTAATTTCTTCTTCTCCTTTTATAAGACATGCTCTGTTTTCCATTAAGTTGACACAGGGTAATTGTACGTTTAGTCAACTTAACAGTTATATGTTGCCACCCTTGCTATGCAGCACCATCATTACTAGTCAGTCAAACTAATTACAAATATTACTATAATAATTACTAATATTACTATTACTAACTAGAAACTCCCTAACATGTTTGTATTAGATACGTAATCCAAATTAAGCTGTATCTAGGTTGTGTCTGCTTAAACTGGCATATAAACACTCAACTGCAGCAACATATAACCAACACAGCTATGTGGATATTGACCTGCAAGGGGAACCGAAGGCTGGTGGTGCTAACTCTCTTAATGTTAGACACAATCCAGACTTTTCAACCACGTGTTTAACCATGCTAAACTATTTATTTTTTCCTATTTTGACTGATTTTTCAATAACTAGCAGATTAGTTGATACAGAACATCCCTATTTACATCCCTAAGCTCTGGGTAAGAATGACTTTCCTTCTCATCCCTCTCATTGGTGAAAAAACAACAGTGGCCTTCAAGGACAAGAAACTCCTGTAATACAAAATAAATATGACCCTCCATTTTTCAAGATTTCACAAACAAAAACTCCTATTTCTGCAAATTCTTTTGGGCGCAACAACCCCTCTCCTCTTCCTCTTCCAGCTGGATGATTTACAGCAGCTGCTAGCTTCACACAAAAGCTGCTGTGAAGCACATTTGGTTTGTGTTGACTTTGGCGCCCCCTGTAGGCTGATAAAACAATCTAATTGAACAGTCAAATTTGTCACTTATTTACTTTTGAAAATGTAAAAAAGTTTGTTTCCTCAGTGTTAGGGTGACCATATTCTGACTTCCCAAAAAGAGGACACGAGGGGTGGGGTCACTGAGTCGCATGAAGTTAATTTTGAGAGTTTTTCCGGTCGGATGGAGTGTCTTTTATGTGCTTCTAAATCAGCAAGTCCACATGACACAAAATCTTAACTCTCGTACAAAACCGCAGACATTTGAAAGATTTTGTAAACTTCCCTGGACAAACCCAGAAACCCCCCAAAAAAGAGGACATATCCGGGTAAAAGACGACATATGGTCACCCTACTCAGTGTGCTAGCCTAGCTAATGATCTTGTTTGCTTTTGTGTATCATTAAGAGACATCAGAATCAACTTCAATCTGTTTTACAACCAGTTAAAACTCCTCACAGGGGCTCACTGCATACACTTTTATGTCCTTTCGTTTATCCAGGGCGAAAAAATTCATACTCAAATATTAAATTATTCATGATGGTAAAATAATTAAATGTTTTACTGCCTCGGGAAGCAGTCACAGCGGTGTGGTGCAGTGGGCTGCAGCTGCAAAATTAAAAAGTCAGAGAGATGGATGGGAGAGGAAAGGAATCTGGGCTTCTGGATTTTCAGAGCCAAATATGAGAACGAGGGAGGAAAATTCAGGTGTGCTGCAACATTGTTTTTCTGCACAATTTGAATTATAATCAAGTTAACAATATTGGAATGGTTCCAGGGTGTTTTATTAATATTTCACTCACAAGCATCGTTTTGTTGTTGAGTTTGTTTTGTAGCCTACTGTCTTTTGTGCATTTTCTGCTGCTTTTAAAGGCTCCAACTACAATAAGCATTGCAAGTTAGCTCAAGCTTAAATGCTTAAGTGTGCAGCTTTGGTTTACTTGCCTCATACTCGTCCCTATACAAACAAACCTCAAATAAATAACAGGTTTTTAATAGGGCTCCAAACAGGCAGAAGACAAATAGTGCAAACCAAACTAGTATCTAACAGCTTCCCTTCTGGGCCCAGTTTGAGGACTAAACTCTCTCTCTCACATACACAGTGGAGGTGTAAAACATTATACTGAGCTGTTCTTTGCTGCAGTAAGCAAAATACGCTGCAGGGAAAGCAAGTGACACTGTCCTAAAGTAACCCTGACAGAAAGTGAGAGAAACAAGGAGCGAGACTGAGAAACAGAGGAGACATAAAGGGGTAACAACGGTGCTTTTACTTTACTCGTAACCTGCCTCAGGGAAGTGTGTGTGTGTGTGTGTGTGTGTGTGTGTGTGTGTGTGTGTGTGTGTGTGTGGGACAAAGAGAAGACAAAGGGAAGACAAAGACTGACAGACAGATAACGCCGGAGGTGACCAGAGTGCATCAATCACAAGAAACCCTCGGCCAGGAAATACAAGACTTACAGACAGCTCAACTGACCTGGAAAACACAGCAAGACCAGACACAAACACACACACAAACGCACGCACACACACACTCAGCCACACAATCATTTTCTGCAGACAAAAGCCAAAGCTCTCTACCTCTAACAATGCCCCCTACAAACACACAGACCAGATCTTGCAGGTATAAAGACAATCAAGATATTTGCTGTTTTTTTTGTGTTTTTTTTTTTTTTTAAATCATAATCAAATGAATAATTGACTTATTTTATTGACATTACTCCTCATTGAACAATTTCTGATGCAGGTTTCTTTCCTTTGTGTGCTACTGTACTTTGACTATGTCAACTTCATATCACTTTAGGATATTTATACTGCTTATGTCAATGTTTGCTGATCATTTGTGTGTTCTTGAACTTCTTTTTCAACAGATCAAATGCTCAACAGAGTATCTGGTTATGTTTTAAAAGTCTGTTTTCTGCTCTTATTTGCCTGCAGATGAAAACTGTTTGTACTGTGCATGTTTGGAAAGTATGGGAAAACAACCATATGGTGATGTTTGTGCAGTGTCTGAGTGTGACACAGACAGACGTATTTGTTTATGTATGGGAGAGCTGCCATATGGTGGTTTTACATGCATGCACAATATGGCATTTTTCTGCGTTCATATCATCCTCTGTCATGTGTCTGTGTTTGGCTGATAGGGTCTGCAGCCAATCAGCTGCAACGCCCCTGCAGCTTCGTGGGCATCTTAAGGAAGGATTGAACCTTTTATTGACCAGATGACCCAAAGTAGAGTGAGATAAAATAACTGAGCAGTGGTGAACACAAGGTGAAGGATAAATTGTAGCAGAGTTAGCTCGTACAAAATCAATTTTTTGATAGCTGATTACCCTGAAAATTGTCCTTGCAGGTTCTTATTGACAAGAGCCGATTTGGTCTTTTTAAGTAGCTGGTTTTTCCCAGATCAATAATCCAGTGTCTGAGTTCAATTTGCAATGTTAAGTGAAATCAATAGATATTTGAAAGATTTTTTTTATATTTTAATATTGTGCTCCATGCAAGCACTGCAATACTGCCACCGTAGGATTAAGCAGAATACTAAATCTAGTCTTGATCTTGGCCTCAGCAGAAGACACAAAAGCTGCAGGTGAAAGGAGACGTACAACAATCATGGGAACACTCTGCAGCTCTGCACAAAGGTGAGCAACACCAATTTCTCAGGAAGAAAAGAGCCGTCTAATAAAGTGCACCATGTTCTGTGCTTGTCTTCTTTGTCTGCACCGGCGCAAAAGTGGACATGTGTGACTCTGAATGTGTCTGTGTGTGTGGCTATTGGGGCAGAAACACAAAGATACAGAGAGAGAGAGAGAGAGAGCAGCGTGTCCTCTGGCTGATAGCTACAAAACGTTAGCAGATAAAGCAGGAGGTCTCAGCTCAGCCACTGACCACAATCTTTGCTGTTGACCTGCTGCTCAAACCCTTTTAGTCATGTGTTAAATGTATTTTTGAAAACGCAAATCAACCTTTATAACACATTCAAAAAAACAATGTTGGCTTTGCAAGGTAAGAACACTGTGAGAAAACATCATTAAAAGCACAACACATCTTTATAAAAGTACTTAAATCTATCATGATAACACCGTTCTGTCAAAAGAAAAATTCAGTAGGGGGGCTGAATTTTATCTGAAGTGGTAAACTGTTCTTCAGGTTAGGGGCAGCTACTGCCTAGGCCTGATCACACAGTTTTGAGGTGAGTTTTAGGCACATCCAGGAGCAGCTGGACAGAGAACATAAAGAAGCACAGCCAAGTAAAGTGGCGCCGATCCATTATGGGCCTTACAGCTCAACAGGATTTTAAATCAATCCCAAGTATCATACTCATCTTGCATCTTATATCCTCAAAGGCTACCATCCCTTTGCCAGAGATCGGCCATGTGGGGCCACTCATAATCCTGCTCTTTTAAAGCTAAGTGCCTCTTGTTGCAGTCCGTGTCATCCATCTCTTTATTTTGGTGTGTTTTCACCAAGGGGTCTTGTTTAACACGTGTCAGTGTTTTCTATAGACTCCCCCTAACCTCCTATCACCACTTTTCTCCCACAGGTATCGTGCCCTGCAGCCCTACAACACACACTCTGCAGATGTAAAGAATAAAACTCAGGCCAGCAACAGGGATTTATCAACCACTTCTCCACACTGCAGGTTTATTGAACCTGGCAGATCCGGGGCAGCTGTGTTTGTAATTAAGGAGGAAAAATGTCCCACATGAAGAATAAATTCTCCCCGTCGTACGAGAGTTCAGGCTGCGTGCTTTTGAGAGACCCGACGCCTTTGAACTCTGAAATATTCATCGTAAAACATCGACTCCGTTGGATAAAACAGAGCAAGTGGCCAGTCAAGTGTTTTAGAAATGTTTCCAGAGGGACCTGCAGCGTTCTTGTCCTCACTGAGATCCTCCTGCACAACAAAGAAATCTACAAATGAGTGAAAACAGTTGGTTTTCCACTTCAGCTGGTGTTTACAGAGCTGGACCAGAGGCACCGTTTGTTTGTTTTAAACCACAGTAACAAATCTCTGAAACAGCAGCAGAAGGATAACCTTTCCAGATCTGTTTAGGAGACATATTCTGTATTTCAAACTTTATGGAGGCTCTGGTAAATATCTGAATGACACACAGAGGTACAAATCAGGTTGAAGCCCCCTCTTCACAACAACAATGACCACTTTGACCACACAGGGCGTTACGGTCGCTCTACAAACCTGAAAGCACACACTACGGAGATGATACTAGAACCACTGAGCACTGTTTGTGAATGCAAACCAACAACTTCAATGACTCACAATATCACACTCAGCTCTATTCAGGTCCTTCAGCAGGAGTGTTGCGGTTGAGACTTTACTTTCACTTTCCATAAGTGTGTGTGTTGAATTCAAAACAAACACATAACTGTTTTTTTTTCTTCAAAGTCATGTCACACGTGACTTTACATTGCACAGGCTTGAACTATCTTCTATAGCTGTCTGTATAGGTTGGGTTTTAATGTCTATTTAAGGTCTGCTGATTTCTGCTCCTGGCTGCTTCTGATGTAAAGCTGCTGTCAAGTCAAAACAAACCATCTAAGATGTTGTAGGGTCTTTTTCAGGATAAATCTTTTCCTGGAAAGAAGTTCAGCAGAAGAGCACTCCTTGCTCTACAGCTTCTGGCCACAATTTGACGCACGCACTTCAGTCCTGCTCTCATCGTTTTTTGTGTTGCTATTTTACACCTAAATGATGTCATCCCTTTTTCTTTTAAATTTGTTGATTTCTCTGCTTTCATTATGCTTTTTAGCCAATCTACCGCAGAAGATCACTTTCTGGAAAACAACACGAGTATTCATTCTTGTTACTGACAAAATTCTGGCTGTGTTTCTTGTGATTTTTGGACCGAGATTCTCGCCAAATCTTTGCCCATGAGGCTCCCAGGAAAGTGTCCACGTCTGTCTGTGTTTAGCTGGCTGTGTTTACCATCATCTTCCATGCCTCCATGTTACTCATAACAAGTAGTGACAGCTAAATAGAAGGCCTGTGTTTACATGCAGAGTCCTCCTACGCAATACAGAACACCTGTTGATGTATGAGAGACTCAGACAGCCATAATTAAAAGCTGTTGCTGGCTAAGCTGTTTAATAGAGGCTTTAAAGGCAACCTGGGCCACACTGCCGCATTTACCTTTTCTCTTCTCCACCATCACCCTCTCCAACCATTCAACCATTCAACTTTTCCTCTTTTCAACATCCCCACTTATTCCTAAGCAAATCTCATTTTTTAATAAAATCTTCTCTTTCAGCTCTTATTCGTCTTTTTAAATGAATGTGGGCACTAATTTTCCTCACATAGGCACTTATTTTTCAGATTGTGGGGTTGAGGCTGGAGACAGCAGTGGTCTAAATATATTTCTTTTTAATTGATGTTATTCTTACTATTACTATTTTATGTACAGCACTGTTACATGACTGCTGTTTGAAACATGCTTTGCAAATTAAGTCTGATTGATTAACAAAAATCCGTTGCCATGGCATTTACTACACTTAAACTTACAGAGGGATTTTTTTTTTCAGAACTATATGAAAAAAAAATCTTTATATAAATATTTTGCATTAACTTGTTTCTGTCTTTGGTTGGCAGCCAGATAATGAGCAGGAAGATACTAATTATTAGCAGTTAATGAGACTTATAACCAATATTTGGAGCCAATATGCGTCCACAGTAAATAAGAACATCTTACTATCAAAATTTAGCATTTGGAATATCACTAACTCCAAGAAAAAACTTTTCTCAATTATATCAGCTTTTTACTTGTTAAGCACTTTGAAGCTGGTTTTTGAAAAGTGACACATAAACAAAACCTTATTATCATTATTATTTAGTTGGTGATTTTATGCCCCAGTTTGGTAACCATGTCCACACTGCATGGCCTAAACTTTGTGGAAACTCAAACATGGCACCCACATATCATTGCTATTACTTCTAATTCACATTTAATATGCATTTATGTACTGTTTCAGCCGCCTCCATTCTTCTGCTTTCAGGTCACGCTTTAAAACCTGTCTGCAGGGATTTGCTCTCATTCAGCCGGCAGAGCATTAGTGAGGTCGGGCAGATGATGGTAGACGAGGTCTGGCCGACAGCCAGCTGTCCAGTTCATCCTAAAGGTGACTGGTGAGGTGAAGATCAGGGCTCTGTGCAGGTTAATCGGGGTCTTCCACTTTCACCTAGGAAACACCTTTTGACATGGAGCCCTGTTTGTCCTTAAGGCCACAGCTATGTGCTGTTTTCTAACGTATGGAGAATCATTACATACAAGAAATGTTTGAAGCCACATTCCCACCAAAAGTACTAGGAACCTTTTTGTATGAGGAGATTATTTTAATGATGACTTAAAATGTTCTTCCAGTCCAAAACAACAATTAAGGATAGATCCAAACTACAATCACATAAAAGCACATCCTACAACTCTTCATTTCTGCTGTTTGTCATTTCGAATCTCCTCTTCTTAAAATGCTGAACTTGCATTTACAGGATGAACTTGACAGAAGCGACTTCCTTCAGGCTGTCGGTGTGACAGCAGGGCATGGCATATATCCAGGCAGTCAGCTATTAAAATACTGCAAGGATTCAACTATTCACAAATGTTTCATACTGCAAAGTCCCTCTTAAAGTCCCTGTACTTTCACTTAGTACTACCCATGGAGAAAGGATCATATCCAGAAAAAATAAAAGCCTTCAAGACTTTATTTACACCGTACTTCCATAACAGTCTTAGCTGGAAATACATTCAGTAACCTCTGGATATTTCCGGGACTTTCCCTACTTGAATTCTAAGTTCATGGACAATGAAATTTCTACAAACTAGGGACTCTACGTTTAGGGAGCAGGATCTTTCTAAAACCTAAGAACCTCGACAATATAAGATCACTGAACAGGAACTTTCTACAAAATAGGGACTTTCTTGAGTAACAAAATTCCCTGCAGTGAAAACAAAGCCTTGGAAACTTAAATTCTAATTGAGTAGCCAAAACATGATTAACAGTAAATAACCAGGTGAACTATGCAGACAAAATCCTAGTATTGTTGCTGCAGAAATCTGTGAATCACTGAAACAGAAATGATATCAGCTGGGTGACCATATTCTGAATCCCTAAAAGGAGGACACAACTACGCATGGGGCGGAGTCACAGAGTCACGCATAGTTAATTTTGAGAGTTTTTCATGTCGAATTTTAACTCAGTAGCTCTATGCAACACAAACTCAAAACTTCCATACAAAACCCATATGAAGGATTTTATGAACTTCACTGGACAAAGCCAGACAGCCCCCAAAAAAGAGGATATGTGCCAGTAAAAGAGGACGTAATGTCACCCTAATATAAGCCAACTTTTTTTTTTTTATCCTGATGCTTTAGCAATAGTTTGCTGTGTTGCATTCCCATAAAGCAGAGACTGAATTCATGAGAGGTCAGGCAGAGGAGGTAGCAGGGATGCTGAACTTCACACTCTCCCTCTAATTAGATTTAGTGACTTGGATAATTCCCATTATATAAATGAAAATGGCCCTCTGAAATATTTAAAGCCTCCAGCGCAGGCCCGCTACTCCCCCCTCCACCAGCTATCAGCCCCCTGAGACACCATGACCAGGAGGGGCAACATGTGCAAAACGCAGCAATAAATCAATAATGTACGATGTGCCGCTGCATCTCACACCCTGGATTAATAGACCTGCCTGATGCACACTTATCTGCACAAGCTAGGACACAAATAAAACCACGAGAGTCTGACCTGCATGCTTTCACCTCAGATATATGGACAGAATAAATATGTATTATCACAAGTACAGTCCTTCAAGCCGGATAGATACAAACCTAAACACAACATCTACAAACACAGATCCATCCTAACACACAAACAAACACACACAAACACACACACACAGTGCCTCAGAGGAAACACTGACCAAAGCATATGGGAAATCAATACACCTTCTTAAGGATTCTTCAGATACATTTAACCCCTCAGGGTGAGTGTGAATGAGGGGGATGATTTTTGTCTGCATTGTCTCCATGTTTGCTCTCCTTTCTTTGTCCTCAGTCATTGCAAAAGCACTTTATAGAAGAGTAAGGGGTCAGCCTGGATTCAGTGAAAGCCTCTTTCCAAGAATGGACTTAAGATTGAGCAATTTAGGATTCTCAGATGACTGAAAAAGGACCCTCACACGTGCATAATACTCCAGCCAATGTCCCAACTTTATCCAGGTCAGCTGCATGTGCGTTGATGCAAATGGAAGAAATTTTCACCCAGATTTTATCCAGAAATTTTCCTCCAACATCATAATGAAGTTTCTGCAGGAACATGGCAGGAAAAAACTTAAGAGTCTAAACAACTCTTCCACCCCTGTGAAAAGTTTGTCCTGCAGAAATGTGCTCTTGCATGTTTTTTGCTTTCTTCCGATTCAATTCTTCCACGATTTTTTGGATGCCGATTCAATTTAAATTGCGCTTCTACGATATAGTCGATTTTCTTGGTTTTTAGTCTGCATTTTTAACACCAGTGAAACAGCTGAATGATTGTCTACTGACTATTCCAGTAACCATATTTCCCCCCAAAATACACATCACATGAAAGTTAGATTTTAAGACTCATTCTTGAACTTGAAAATTTCATTTTTTTTATTTTTGAACATAGGAACCGATTTAGAAAAGTGTAAAACTGAAATTATGATACTTATGTGAATCATTTTTCTCCCACCCCTACTTGCATGTTGTAGTGATACTAACACAGAAACAATCAGAGGACTCCTTCTTTTACACACTTTTACACGGCAAGTTTGTGAAAATATCAGGGCCTGATTTTCCTAAATAAGGATAGATGCACAGCCGAGTTGAATCCCTAGTGTCTTGGCATTTCCTCTTCTTAATTTGATTAGATCACCTCCTGTTTGCCCAAACATCCCTGTCTCTCTCAAGCCTGCAGACACAGAGCCCCCCTTTGTACAACCTACTTTGAAGAGGATGAAAGACAAGAATACCAGGGGGACACTGAGAGGGATGTTCAGGGTGTATGTACACACAAAAACACCATTAAAACAACCTTCGGGGGGGTTACGCTCCAGACCAGGTTCAATTTTAATGGCCTGCCTGAGGCTAACAACCTTGTAGCTAAATTCACCTACTGGGGAAAGAGCCCTGTTCTTAACAAAACGTAGACTCTTGAAGGATTTGTGGGGGTTTACTTGCCTCACCTGTATAATTGTCGGTGTGTTTTCCGTCTCTTTATTTTGCTCGTTTGTTGACTTCATTTACAACTGGCTAATGGAGCCAAGAAAGCTTAAAGCTGGCCTGCAGGGGGGCCGCTAAACTTCAGCCCCAAATCCAAAGTGACTTTTAAGAGTTGTCGTGTCAAAAACAGCACGAGATGAGGCAGTAAAAGGACGAATGTGTTCACAGTCCAACTTCAAGACTGACTGTCAAAGTTATAACCCGATGTAACCAGAGTGGGAGTTCCCCTCGAGGCCGGCGAGGGTGTCATTTTTCTGGACTGGAGATGAACAAAGTGCCCGTCAATCAGTCCTCTCACAAATCCTCTCTCGTCCCTTTGTTTGCCGTCTCTCTTCCCTACGGTCCCTTTCAATAATCTGAGCTTCACTCACTCGTTTCGACTTTCTCTTTTGCTTACTCTTGTCAAATTTCCCTCCTTCTATACATTTACACGGCTCTGTTTCTCCTCTCCAACCTTCCCCTCTTAGTCTTCTCTTCCACCTGAATATGAAGTAAGTAATTTGTTTTTCACTCAGAATTAAACTACAACAAGCTGCCTCCCCGCTCCCCTCATCCTCTCTCGTCATTTCTATCACCTTCTACCTCTCCCTTCATCCTCTCACTCCTTTTTTCCATCACATGTTCCCATGGTCTCTTTCCAGGAATGGAGCCTGGCCTAATTCCCCATTACTCTGATTGATAGACTGGGAGCTCAGTGCGATCACTGACTGGCTGTAGATAACATTGGGGCAGCCAGGCTGTTTGCTACAGGAGGCAGGATTGTAAACACTCTGCAAATATGAGCCTCAGATCCCTCCTGACCTCTATCAATCTATTTTTAGTCCTTATGCGTGTTTCATTTGGTATAGGTTTCCAGTCAGATGATTAGTCCCTTTAAAACTAAACTAAGGGCGTTGACTGACTTTGTTAACCAGGGGAAACATACAGAAATAATCAGAGTTTCCGTAGATTATGAATTTTGTCCGAATCCAAAATTCTACACTTAATTTCTGAGTACTGGATTATTAAAACAGGTCCAGGTTTACAGTCTGGACAGCTGTGATGCTTAGTTTTAAAACTATACAAGAACTGGAATGGGGATATATAGCAATGTGAGATTCTGGACTGTAATAGGGCTGGGCGATACGGCCTCAAAGCACGATATATTTAGCAGTTCACCTTGATAACAATAAATGGACGATAGGTACTCCACAAACTGCTCACCCCCTCCCACATTAACTTTGTCTACTCCAGCCGCTACAACTTTAGAACCATCCTCCATCTCCCCATCTGTCTTTCCCTCTTAGTTATGGACTGGATGGTGTGGAGTCACATCTCTGACGTAGGACAGTGTCTTTAAGGGACATGAGACCATAGCCTACCTACACACATCCAAAACCAACTTTAATTTATTTTTTTGACACCGAATATACCGATATGGACACTATGACATTGGTTATTGTCATAAATCTCGGTATCGGTAAATTTTCGGTTTATCGCCCAGCCCTACATTGTAATGCTCCCATGCTCACCCCTCACATCGGTGGAATAGTGGCCCACTAGGACAAGACGCTCAACACGTCTGCACGCAAAGTAAAACCTCAATTTGACAAGTTCTTACAATCACTATATTTTCTTTTTCCCTCAATAACCTCCTCTTCTTTATCTTCCAGCTGATGCATTATGTGCTGCCACTTCAACACAAACGTATGTTATTATTTTGTAAAAACTTGACTGTGCATGATGGCCTTTATGGTAGGAGACCTGCTCTCATGTAGATGTAAAAGACTAATTTTAAGTCAACAAAAGTATTTTTAGTATTTCAGGCAGTTCAACACTAACTTACACATACTTCTGAACATTATTTTCCACTTCTACAGATAAATCATTTCTGATTCATGCCAGATACTACAGATTGCATCTCTGAATTACTTAAAGTAGTTGTTTTAACTCTGAACCCCAGCTGGGGCCTTTCTGTGTGGAGTTTGCATCCTCTCCCCAGACATGCGTGGGTTCACTCTGAGAACTCTGACTTCCTCCTACAGTCCAAAAACATGTTCATGAGGCTAATTAGTCGCTCTACATGGTCTTGGGCCCAATGATATTCATTTTTATTCATCCCATATTTCATTTATTTTTATTATCCTAATTTTTCTGAACTCTGTGTTTTACCATGTGACCACATTTTGTCACCTTAAGAGCATCTAATCTTCGGGTAGATAACTAATATTTGAATAAACCAAATGAAAACCTCTGATTAATGAATATTTATCAGAGGCCAACCACAGCTGATTGGTCTCATTATTACACAAATAATGACATAAAATAAAAATTTTACATGATTTGTTTCCAATTTTTAGGACCATATCAGAGTCATCACTAGGACAGCACGCACCAAAGTTTCCATTAATGATATCTGCTGCTGATTCAAAGAAATCCTTGTGTGATTAGACAACAGGACTTCACTGTCTCTGAGAAAGATCAGCAACATGCAGTTTGTGAGATATTTAAAGAGGAGGGATTATCAGCTACACCTTAAACACATCAAAGCTCATGGCTGACAGATAGATGCAGGTAAACACAAAGAGGTCATGTTAAAAACAATGGCTGCACAGATTATGAATTTATCAATTTGATAATGTCAGCAATTGCAAATTACATTACAATGAATTTGAAAACTATTTAATGTATTTTTTACTCTGCATGTACATAGAGACCTTGATGTTATTAGCTTCCTCTGATGCTTTTGATGCAGTCAGCTGAAGCTTAAATGTTGATAATCTAAATATGACAAAATGCCTTTTGGATCCAATGAATGTTGCTTCCATTTCAGCGCACTCTCTAACCAGCACGTCCTGGAGCTCCCCATATGTTCCAGCTCCTTAAGGTCAAAATATAGTAAAGGTAATGTAATAGATGACTCCATAAGCCTCAGCCTATAATCCTGTTATTTAAGCTGCAGCACAAACTCAGAGTCTGTATGTGTTCGAGTCAGAGCAACATGAAAGCTCCCACTGTCCTTCAGTCCAAAAATAGAGCGGAGAAAGCCCTCTTTGTGTTTGCTCTCTTCAACAGACGGTACAGACCCACAAAGTGACCGACTGTTGTCTTTCTGTGTGAGCGTGTGTGCGCTCGCTTTCCCAAAAACTCTGCACTCCTGTAAAACATTAAATCTGAGCGGGGGAGCCGATGACAGACCCTGGGCTCACTTTCAAAACGGATTTAGTCGTAATGAACGGAACAAAAACTATTTCATTCTGCACTTTAGGAATAAACAATGGCTTTCTCTGTTACTGTTATTTTTCCTTTTTCTTATCAACACGGTAAACTCATCCTGGACTAACAATAAACCTGTTTGAGCCAAAAGTTTCACTTCCTGAGTAAAATTTAATGAGAGTAGTATAGAGGTCACTATTTAAGTGCAGCTCAGCATTTTACTTGTCCGAGAGCTTTGGGCTATTTGGCATATGACATTAATAATCCATGCACATGGCAAAGTTACGTGTCTTGTAGGGCATTCATAAAAATCTGAGTGACAGTAAACTTTAAGTGCATATGATACAAAAAAGGGTGATTTTACAGTTCAGACTGTTTTTGAGAGCAGGTTGGTTTGAAAGAACAAGATGTGATTGTGCAAAGAGCGTGCAAGCTGAAAGTCATTACAGAATCTGATTTAAAATGCACATCTTTTTCACTGATTTTACATGTGTTGAGAGAGGTGGGAACTGATCAGATTTTATTGGCACCGATACAGTTATCAATCCTGTTTATGGATCTAAATTTTAAAGATTCCCTGATCAATTCCTGTGGATTTTCTGAGGGGAAATATAAGTGTGATAAGTTTTATTAGCTTCATTGTGCTGCTGAGATGAGGAAGCTTGTCTAATGATCCAGCCTTTATAGATCAGCTGATCATGAATACAACAAGAAGTAGCCCTATATCCCTGATACAGCACATAAATCACAACAGATTCATCGTCATCCGCAGTGACTGAATGGAGGCATTGATTAAGGGACCGTTCAGAAAAATCATAAATTATTCCAGTGGCTCAAACCAGTTCTGATCTGAAACTGTTTTTTATTCCCACCTCTTCATTTTCTTCATGTTGTGACATCCCTCTTTCTACTTTCTTGTATCAAGATTTTTACAGTGCTGCTTTCTAAATCAAGGTTGATGATGGAGGCAATAATTATGTTTCCACTGTCTTGTTTAGAAACAGAGAAAGTTAAAGGTCTCACCATCAGAAAATGATTCAGTTAAACTCCTCTCTGATTTGTGAGTTAAAACACCCATTTTTCCAAGTCAGCCGTCAGCATCAACATGAAATTTTAGCTGGAAAAGCTCCAATAAGTATCATTTAGGTATACAGTAAATGCACCACTAAATGGCTATGCAGCATCAGCTTGTGATGTATTATCAAAGCACTAAAATGCTCCTGGATATGTTAAGATAATCAACAACTTGTGCTAATTAGTCGAAAAGTGTTTGAGATGTTTTAATGAATTATTTAAATCTACCCCAGGATTTGCATCTCAAGCCAGAGAAATGCGGCAGACACTTGCAGGAATATGCTGCAGCAGAGGCAGAACATTTATGGTCCATTAAGACTGTGCTCTAAAATCTTCTGCCTGTAAAGAACTTACCGGTTTGGGCATCTTTCTCCTCTCTCCGCCCGTCCCCCTTTGCTGACAAAACAGAAAGAAGTCGTCCTCCGTCTTCCTGCCTTTCCCCGGGGCACCAGCGCCTAATGAACAAAGGAGACAAATGTTAACAGATGAATATCACAAATACTGTATAAGATACAGTGTGCTATTAAGACTGTACAAGAGTTTATTTTTGGGCAGCTCTCCTTTCATTTGAATCGCTTTAACTTTGCCTGACACAATTGACGGAAACAAGAAACACTCAAAAGTAAAAAAAAAAAAAAAAACAGCCAGAAAGGAAAAGTTTAATTAATGCAGATACAATCTGAGACGAAAAGAAATTAGAACAAGATCGGACTTCTTTTTTTAAATCTTTTGTTGTTTCCTATTTTAGACTCTGAACTTATTAAAAAAGTTTTAAAAGAGAAAAGCTGGAATCTGGGTGAAAGAAAGTTTTGGCAATTTTCTCCACAAAAAAACAGAGAAGGCAGCACTGATGATACTGGCACTCTGACTGAACCTACTAGTTTTTTTAAGCTGCAGAGTCTCTGCTGTAGCTCAGCCAGGGTCGTGGTTAATGTCTGCTGCTTAAGTCCTTTAATGCTTCACTACCAAGATGTAAACATGTGCAGATAACCGAGGACAGTAAGACAAACTTGTTTACAGCCTACAAACAACAACAGCTAGTCTGGTTTCATCTTTTTTGTCTTTCTTGTGAGTTGAATGCATGTCTGATGCTCACATATACGGATCATAATGCTAAATATGTCTCAATGAGATGAATATAGGATGAAGCAAGCATGGAAATGAAGACCAAATTGGGCAATTTCTACCCAGTTCAGCAATGTACAGTTTTCATGCAGATGCGCAGCCCCCTGATACCATGCCACCACCACCCTGTACAACAGCTGTGTGAGACTGTTTCTGTCAATGCATGATTTTGATGTAATGAGGGAGAAAAGCCTCAAAAAGGGACACAGTCACAGTTGGATGGCCCAGCTGCTTGCTTCTCTGAGAGCCATCTGCGGGGTCAAGTACCACACAGCACCACAAGATACCTTTCTCTGGTATAATGATAGTACCAGTGCAAATAAAAGCTCACTTTTTCAATTACAAAAAAGGTCATGAAAGCATGTACACCAAATTTTACAATATGTGTTGTTTGAAAATTAGGGGTGTCCCGATACAACTTTTTCACTTCCGATAAGGATACAGATATTGTAGCATTCAGTATCGACCTATACCGGTATTGACACAAACTTATGCATGACAAATTTTGCACTCAACCAACATCACTCCTACTCCTTGCTACTTTATTTGTACCTTGTTACACACTGTTGTTGTGATCACGTGGGCTCTGCATGCTGGATCGGGGTGCTGCTAGCTAGAGAGTCTGGAATGAACTGCTTGTATCGGAGTGCTGATATCGGAGATTTTAGATGCAGGTTGATATTATTCGATATTTGTTTTTTGTCTGATATCCAACCCATATCTGATATCAATATCGCATCATGACAGCCCTATTAGAAATAGTGCAAAAAAGAAAGACTGGAGTCTTGGGGGAAAATTGTTGTATGACTATTTTATAAAGGTTTATAGTTGAGAAAAGAACAACAGCAGTGAAGTTTTATGGCTAAAAAGATTCAAATCCTGCATCTCTCCGAGAAACAAAATTAAATGACTCGGCTAAAAGGTCAAGTCAGTCGAATCTGGTAGAATCTATTTCCTCCTAAACTGTGTTTCAGCACACAGAAACAGTCATGTTAACAGCTGCTCTTAAACTCTAAAAACTGTAGCTACAGGCTGAAAAACCTCCACCTGACGTCTGAACGGCAGATGTGAATCTGGACTTTTACCAGCAGAAAACAGAAGATGCTTTGTTTGCAGACAATTGTGAAACAGAGCGAACAAAATACAAGACAGAGGAGGGAACAGGCAGTCACAGAGAGAACTGAACGAGTATCTGAGAGGAAAGAAAGAAGAGTCCAAAAATAGAGAAAGAGAAATCATAGAAAGTGAGAAAGAGGATGGAAATGTAGAATACGAGAAAAGAGTTTGTTCTGCTTTGGCTGAAATCTTGAATCTTTACGTCATTTCTTTAAAAACCCTTGACCTGCTCCTTTGGATCATTATCTGAATAGTGTCGGGTTTGTTCGGGTTAAGAGCTTGTAAGCTAATTGACCAGAATCTGATAGAAAGAGAGAGAGAGAGCAGTCTGTCGGTGTCCCATTGGTGTCAGCTCATTGTGATGTGCGAGGACAGAAATAGACTTTCTCAAGTGTCGGCACAGAGAATGAAACCAGCTCGATCACAAGCTCAAACAGGCTCAGTCTGAGGGCAGAAACACACCCTACAACTACCTAAGAAATTAGAGGTTAGTCTGGCCATGTTTGGTGAATAGTGGGCCTGATTTTAAGTTACTGCAAGACACTGCCTGCTTCAACATATTCTACTTGGGAAGACATTAAAGCTTTAGATCTGGATTATTTTAAGACTGGTAAACTGATCTGAACAAAGTTGAACTTGCTTTGAGTTCTACATCTTCAAGAATTGGATCTGAAGAGATCCTGGTCAGGATTATTACTTGCCCCATTACTCCTTGTCTGCATTGTGTATCATAGGTTTTGTCGTGTATGTTATTTCGACCCACAGTTAAATTCTAGAGGCCACACTACAGACTTGCTGCTACTAAGTCAGCTGTGTGTGTGTGTGAACACAGAAGAGAAATCTTCCTCTGACTTCACCATGTTTTTTTTTTTCTTGTTTTTTTTTTATGACAGTGTCCTGGTAACATTTTTGCAAGAAGTTGAGTAAGCCAATGTGAGAATGCAGCAGGAAATGTCCGAGAAAAATATCCTAAAATGAGAGGGCAATGCAGCCTGATACAAACCTGGAAGAGCAACACCTTACAGGATAAACAAAGACATCTAAGATTAAAGGAGACACATTTGAAGACAAAAAACCGCAAATATCTGTCTGTTCACATGCACTATTGATAAAGACAGCAAAAGCTCTCTCTGGCCTCTGTTGCACTGTCCGCTAACATGTCACTGTGGCTTCTACAGCAAGCTTTTGATGCCATGTCCTCTCCCCTATGACTCATCCCTCTTTTTACCCCCTTTGTCTAGTGAGGAAGGCTTCACACTTTAGGGAAATATGTCAAAAATTAACTTAAATGTATGGAGCAATACACTTGAAAACTCAGAGAAAATTCCAGAAGTGCATGTCCAAGAGAGGCTGCACAGTCCTGTGCAAACACAGGCTGTGTCTCATTTCAGAGACCGCATCGACCAAAGTGCCCTTCTGCACCGTCGAACGGTGCATTTGAAGTGTGCATGACGTCACGACGGTGCGAACGGTGTCCCGTTTGGCACGAGATGCTAAAAAATGCTAAGCGCGCTTAGCATGTTTTCAAGCGTGCATTTATCCACGCTTTCGTGCCGTCGGTATCCCAGAATCCTTTGCGTGCCGCTGCACAGCTGCGCATTTCAGGTGAGAGGCTGGACTCGCTTGGAGACGCAGCGCGTCTTCAAAGAAATTACAAGCAATCCAAAAACAGCAGACAGTCAGCTCAGGCTGTATGAGAGCATGATCTCTGAACTCACTAAAATCTGTAAACCAAACATTATAGATTTAGAGACGAACTGATCCGCTGTGTTACAACTATCAAAAACATTAGAAATGAGAAAGCTGACAAAACTACAGCAGAGTATCAGGACAACATTGAGGGTTTCTTCTTTTAAGATTTAGAGATTAAAGTTGTAAATTTAGGAGAATAAAGTCATAAAGTAAATAAAGTCATAAAGCTGCTTTTGTGGAGGGGGAAATGACTGAAGCTGGTCATCTGCAGGGTTATCTGTGGATGTATCAGCGGGTCATTCAGAGAGATTTTGTGGTTTCTGAAGAAACAATCAAACTGATGATGATCAACATTTGTGATCCAGAGGGAGTCGAGCTCCGACGAGCACCACGTCTCTGACACCGGCCGTAGCCTACACCTGCAGAGACACCAACACCTTATTATGGCATATGGATTCATATCATAAATTAAAGCTCAATGTCATTCACGGATATTAACGGCTGCATTGACAGATATATCCTCAGCATATTCATTTCTGCCTCCACAAAAGCAGCGATTTCCTTCAAGTACACCAGTTTTTTTCCCCGTGGAAAAGACGTATTTCTCATATATTCTTCTTAAAGTCTTTATACTTATGACAATGTTATGCTGATGTGCCAGAGGATGAAGAATCTCCTTGTTTGTGAAACAGCCTGAGCTGACTGTCTGATGGTTTTGGATTGCTTGTATTTTCTTCGAAGACGCGCTGTGTCTCCAAGCGAGTCCAGCCTCTCACCTGAAATGCACAGCTGTGCAGCGGCACGCAAAGAATTCTGGGATACCGACGGCACGAAAGCGTGCATACTTGCACGCTTGAAAACGAGGCGGGGGTAGTGTGGTTTTGAGACCGAATTTGAAGCGCGCTTAGTATTTTGTGCCAAACGGGACACCGTTCGTGCCGCGTGGTGACCTCACGTACGCGTCAGATGCGCCGTTCGATGGCTGCTGTATCTGAAATGGGACACAGGAAGGGCACAGAACGGCGCAAAACGGCGTAAAACGGCTCACAACGGCAGTGCACTCAGCTAAGCGCCGTTAAGCGCGCTTATCACGATGCGGTCTCTGAAATGAGACACAGCCACAGTCTCCTAGACCGGAGCGGTGGTTGATTGCACAGGTCTGATTGTATCAGTGTCATTTAAAATCAATGCATAGCTGCTCTTAATTAACCCCACCTCTAACCCTGACCCCCCAGTGTTTGGCTGCAGCCTGGAAAGATAAAGCACCACACACAGACTAAATGAGCTGCTGGTACAGAAACTAATATAATCCACAATGTGTGAGTCACGGTGCTGAACCTTTATCAGTCCAAGTCTCCTGGTACAAAGCTCTGAATCAAAAATGGGGCAACTTATTAAAACTTCCCAACACACAGCCTGAGTGAGTTCATCCACGGGTTCTTCCTCAGCACTTTGCTGCCATCTCTGTATCTCCTTTTCTTGCATCTTTATATTAGCGCTTTATCAATGGAAAGAGGAGTTGAGATAGTCAGGGCCAGAGTGGTGCATTATGGGTGGGGAAAAAAAGAATGCAAAGAAAGAGGTGCATAAGAATTCAAAGCTCGTCTTGACCCATATACCTGCAGCCAGCAGATAGGTAAAGACACTGAATACTAAAATCACTCTCTCTAGCCTGAGAGCGGGTTCACTTCTTTCCTCAGATTACTGCAGTGAGAAATGATGAGACTGGTTTTCAGAGAGCAGAGTCTTCAGGGTGTTACTGATTTATTCTGAAAGTTTAACGATAACTCGAATATATTCTGAAGAAAATTTTAGATTTAACTTTTCTACAAGTGCACATCACCCCGAGGGCCTGAAGCAGAAGAACCAAATAAGAAATGCAAACACAAAAAATACAAGCCTCCACTGTTGATCCTTAACTTTTTAACTGTCAAAAATGGCAGCACAGTGTGTGGCTGTCGGCTTTAAAGTTGTGATGGTTAAAGGGATATTCTGGCATAAAATTAATTTAGGGTCAAACACATCGTAACACTGAGTTAGACACCCCCTCAAGAGATGAATGTTGCTGACCGCTTGCTTCTCTAGTTATGCCAACTTTAGTAACGACCGCATGATAACAATACACAGCGGTCTGAGGAGCCATAAACAAACCACAGATAGCCATAAATAATGCTCAGAACAGCACCTAACTTCATCAACAGTACAAGGTCCCAGCGACAGCACTAGCCACCAAACATCTTTTTAACTTTGCCTAATTTCTGTAGCAAAGAGACTAAATACAACTCACCTACTCTCTTCCAGCAGCCGCTTACTCTCTTCCAGCAAAATATATGGTGTGTTTGACTCTAAATTAATTTTACACCAGAGTATCCCTTTAAGGAGCATGCACAGAGTCACTCTGCACAAGTATGCTGCCTCAGACAAAGTGAGTATTAAGTCAGTAAGCCTTGTTGATTAAGTGTTTTATGTTTTGTTTTAAACAAACAGACCGTGGGAAGAAGAGTAACCGCTCAGTTCTCAGGAGGCAAAACTTTGAAATCTTTTCAATGAAAAAAGTGGTGTGTGTGTTGGTACTGTATCAGTATCAGTATTGGCTAAAATAGGTTGGAAACTATTGTCACAATGAATATCAGGAAAAATCCAATATCGTGTGACCCAAATATCTGACACCCCTCTTTAGATACAGCAGTCAAGTTAGTGGTAGTAAATAGTCACCTCTGAAAACATGAATTTAATGTTTCTTGAAGGGTGATGAAGCCCAAAGATGGGAGTTGGAATGTTGGGAATACTGACCCCAACTAGGAGCAGATGAAGGGGGTGGTCCTGGGTGGCCATGCGCCCCTTTAAAATTCGATAGGTTAATTCATGGCTTATGTTTCCACGGCATACTCTAACAGTTTAGATATTTGTGTGCTAAAATGTTCAACAAAACAAAGGTGCATTCAACGGGTTTTTGTATTAATTGTGTTTAAGGCAGACAGTCTCTCTTTTGGTATTGTTGTTGCAGGAGTTCATATCACCACAATGATGAAAACAGGATTTATTTTCAAGTCTTAACCTTCCTTCCTCCCGTCTTTCTCTTTGTGGTTGTTCTTCAGGTCTAACAGTCAACTGGTTGATAACATCTGCTTAGTTTCACATCCGGCAAGGTGAAAGTGATTTCCATCTACAAAATTTAATAGATGCTCCAGGCCTTTCGGAAACACATGACCTTCTGGCCCACACACACACACACATGCAAGAACACACACACACATACACACACACACCTCCCTGAGGGTGACCTTTAAAGTGTGCTGTAGCTGAAAGCATCCGGAGCTTTCCAAAAACAACACAGATCTGCTCTGTTTAGCAGCCCCCCCATACCTCATAAACCTGGAGCATGAGCCCTCAGGGTCTGTGTGTGTGTCTCTTCATTCAGAGGGTCTCCCTAAAGCAGATACAGCTTCCACGTCACCATTCATGCAGAGAAAACACTCTCTCTGTGCACATTGGACTCTTTCATCTCGGCCTTGTTTGGTTCAGATCAATATCGACTCTCTGTGGCCTTTTACTCTCAATTTTATAGAGTGAGCAGAAACTCTGCGGGATGGATTTCTGATCCTTATCCACTGTATTTACTTTCTCTACAATAACACGGCTCCTGAGGTTTCAAGGAGTATAGAGCTTTACTGATAGGTTCTATAATTTAAAGATTCAGTGATAATAAAAATGATGTAAGTTACAGCATTCATCAAACTGGATTCAAAGTTGATAGGATGCTCTTAACTGTCCTCATCAGTACTCTGGTTCTGCTCTGACACACTGTGGACTGTTTTCTGGGACACCTGCGTCACACCTATTTCTCTGCTCTACTTGGAACCTTTATTGGTTTTATCGCCTTGTTGATTCAATTAAATACAGGCTGAATCAACTCTGACTGATGAGGGAAAGTTTCGTGGTTACTATAAATGTTGTTATGACCAACAGGTTGAGGTTTAGCTCTTCAGCTGTCTCCGATTGTGGCTCGTTTCAGTCCTTTTGCAATCTACATAAGTATTTATGTAAAACAATAATGCACAAAATCAAGCCATCATTGATGAAACACGTTAATGTCTTTAAGGGAATATTTGTGCGTTTTGTTCATTTTCAGAGATATTAAGAGCCAGAAACAACACACACACACACGCACACACACACTGACACACCCCCAACCTCCATCAGCTGTTCTAACAGCGGGAAACTGCACCAACTGCTTTTCTTACAACAAGGCTGTACTTGTACGATAGAGGAGCCAAATGATTTTGCTTCAGTCTGAGTACAATTGGTTCCTTCAGGGTGTGACCTACGAGCCTAAAAACACCAAAACACAACATCTGAAGCAGTTGATTAATGCTTTCATCAATAGGCAGCTGTTTTATGATTGATAACAGGGATTTTTTTCCACCAGTTTTAAATTCTCATAACATTAAACAGCAAAAATGAAATCCGTAATTGTTATTCTGTGAAACACAATTATCAAGTCTGGCTTTAAAAAGGCTGATGTTGCTCCAAAGAAGACAATCTGTGGACTATGTCACACAGCAGATCAAAACTTGTTTCACCACCTGAGAAATAACCACTGCACAGAATATGAAAAGTCTCTGGAGTCAGCGGTCGACCATGATTGAACAGCTAAAGTACCACAAAGCGGAAACACAACCAGCAAACTTGCAGTTCAACCTCAATACTTGCTTCAGAGGTTTAACATATTTTTTCTTTCATTGATTTCTGAAGCTTGTTTTAATGATTTTAAATGTCACACTGTCATGATTTTTAAATATTACTCTTTTTACGTCTTCGAATTGCCTTGTTGCCAAAATGAGCCGTATGAGTAAACCTGCCTCGCCTTACAATCTGTGACTCTTAGCATTCAGGCTGATGCAGTGACTGAGATATATAAAATAAAAAAAATAAAGACAGCAGGTTTCAGCAGCTGTTAAAATGAACAGTAACGTGAGGAGAATGACATCAACCCTGATGTCTTCTCTTGCTCACACTCATCCACGCTGACGTACAAACACTGAGTGAGTTCAGCTCAAGGACACAGAGCTGATGAGGCTGGACTGAAAGTTTCCTGCAAGAAGGTAACACCTGAGACCACCACTCTGATCTATGGAGAGCTAAGTCAGGGGTAAAATTTACATCTCAAACGGTAATACAAGCACATTTGTATCTGAGTCTAAGTCCTTCCTGTCAGAATATTTCAAACCAGAGATCTGAAGTTCAGTTTAATGGCACGTTTTCAGAAGTGAAGGGCAGAAATGACACCGAGATAGAAATCAAACAGCAGAGGACGAGTTTCCCAGGGTGACAGAGACAGAAACTAGATAGTGTCTGTCTGACTGACTGTGAACCTGGCTGATGTGAAACTAAACCAGACACCAACAGATACAAACTGAGTGAAAACACCTGCACTGCAGCTTTCAGGGTTTTGCCTTGAGATTCATTTTGTTTCACACAAATCTGCAGAGTAAATTCTCACAGGATGCACTCCTGAAATAAAATGTTCATCCAGCCACTCGGTCATCAAACTGACTATACTGACCGGACTAACAAAAGAAGTCCATATGTAGCTGGTAAAACTTACAACATTGAAAATGTTGTGGGTCTGACTGTGAATGTGTGTGAAGATCCCATCATACAGGGCAGTTAGGGGTGTGTCTGCTACACTGCAGCAACTCAGGATATTGGTCCCATCTCACAATTAGCTGGAAAAATCTTCTTGGAAAAAGATGCGTCATCAAGTGCTGTAAATTCACTGAGATTCTCATTAGCTGCTTTAGCTGTGGGTTGTTGTCTGTGGTTAACATTTTTCAACACCTAATTAACTGGCATCAGCTACTTCCCTACTACTTCATTTTTCTCCAATATATCTTTGTTGCAATGATGAATTTCCAGGTAACTTCACATATCTGTTGTGTTGGCTGTAATTTAAAGAGACAGGAAATGTGGGGAGTGTGCACCTGAGAATAACATGCACCTGTAGCATCAGGTTTAGGAAGCGAACCTGTAAACAAATGTAAAGAGCCCTGCACTCTCTGTGCATGGGACACATGCACCCCAGTGGTTCAAAAATGGTGGGTCCCAACCCAAAAGTGGGTCGCGGACATGTTCTGGATGGGTCTCAAACAGCTGGTCAAAAAAGTAAATATTTAATGCGATATTTATCAGATATTTGATATTTTCTGTGTATGCAACTTCAGTAGTTGTCGTCCTCATGTTGTCCCCTTCATGTGCTCTGAAATGCACTTTACTCAGTTAAAGAAGTAGATTTATGTTAAAGATTATAGTCTTTAAAGTTTTTTTTATATAAAACATAAATTTGCTTGGTTTGAGTTCTATAAAAGTGGGTTGTGACTTAAGGACCATGGGTAAATGTGGGTCCCAGAGTGACACCAGTTGAGAACCACTGCAGTACCCAACTGCAGCCGTCAAATACAATACTAAACTACAATAAGTGCATGGGCGAGCAGCTTGATAGCACATTCACTCAATTACCTAAAGCAATGATTTGGAAGTAATGACTTAATTGAGTGTTAAAGTTATGTCTGCGTTGTACAGCTGGATGTCCTTTGCTGTGAAAAACAACTTCATGATTCAACTCTGACCCACTGTACTTGTTACTGATGCATGCATGCACTTCAACAACACAGCAAATGATCACAACGGTTATTTCTAGAGCACTCACTGTTGTCTCATTTTTTCTATTTGGGGGGCTGACCTGGCCGTACAACTACTGCTGACTGAACAGATTTCCAGAACCAAGAACCAAATTTCAAAAGTGTCCACAGGCCATTAAAAAGTAATACAATAGAGAGAAAAGTCCATACATTTCCTCGAACACGCTGTACGTGCCAAATCTACAACGATTCAGCAAGAAGCTGACCATGCATTACAAGAGCCAGTGTGCTGTTTGGGATCAGTTTCAGACAGTCTCGCAGAAACAGCTGGTGTGTGAAGAAACACTCTCGATTGAGCCAACTTCTCCACCTCGAGGACTCACGTTCTCAAAAAATGTGTTTGTGTGCTGTCTAAATTTATCTCAGCGTGCATTTAAATTCAGCATATTTATGTCTCACTTTAGGATACTCACACTGCTGTAGGTATTTTCAGTTAGAGGTTGTCTTAATGAGGTCCACACAGTAGCAGTCCTACATGAACAAGATTACTTTGCGAAGTATTGTTGCATAATACACAATGCAAATATTGGATTTTTAAGTAGGGCCCGACCGATTTATCGGTGAGCTGATTAAATCGGCCAATTTTGAGACTAATAGGTAATCGGCCAAAACTCGCAGATTTTCGCTGATAATTTCAGAAATAAAATGCGAAGAATAAGATTTGGTTTCACTTCGAAAATGTTCCCTCATTTCAAAAGCTCCCCAACTTATCCTGTAGCTGGCACAGCAACCCCATGACCATCTCAGGGACGCTCAGGGATGCAAGGAGGAGAGTGGTCCGCCTCAATGGTAAATCAACTAGTTTGTGAAGTAGACAATAAGTCCACAAGTTTCAGTTCAACCCACTTCACGATGTTCCCCGCTGTGCTGGTCTCGGTCACGCCAAGTTAACGGTGAAGCACCATGTAATATGCAAGCTAAAGCTAGAGTTAGCCACCTGCTATTAGCCTTGCTACACTGTTAGCCGTGCTAGTAACGGTAAAATTAACAACAGTACACATTACGTGATCACGCTACTTCTCTTACTGAGGCAGCTGCATGTCTCCAAATAAGACTCGACCGGAAATGTGTAACGTGAGTTAAGACGCGGAGGCACCAATCGGCGTTGACAACGTTTTTCTGGTCCGAGTTTGATCAGTCGGTCTTCCTGTCGGCGTGAAGAGCAGTAGCCTACAGTACAAATATATATTATAACTTCATAAAAAAATTAAAAATCAGTTGATTTATCGGAAATCTGATTTTTTTACCCCCTAATAATTGGCATCGGCCCCAAAAAAATCCATGTCGGTCAGGCCTTACTTTAAGGTTTACAAAATGATAACAATACCCTTTTCTGTGAGACTTTTCATGATTAAAGCTCATCTTCAATCTCAAAATGGTCTTCATTTTTTAAAAAGTTCACAGTTTTCTAGTTGTTAGTTTGGTCTTAAACAAACTCTACACAAAACACCACACTCATGTTTCATCATGGGGACGATAAGCCAGAATAAAACCACATTCTCCTGTCCTGATGTGGAGCCATGAGATGATTCAACCGGTTACAAGAGAAATCTAAAACCCGCCGTCAAAGGTATCTCATGTCATGATGCACATAGAGCCTCTTTCTCAAATGAGCTGTAATTCAGTCCCCGGGAGGGGGCGGGACCAAGACGAGCAACAGGAGGATTTGATTGACGCGGAGTAACAACCAATAGATTCACCCCGCCAGCTGTAATGAGGCCAATCAGAGACTTGTAAGTTTCTCAACGCGGACTTAGCATCTGTTTGTGCCAGATGGACCGCTAGTATAGTGAGCGGGGCGGTATTCAGGACGGTTATTTACGCAGAAATGCTCAACTAGCCCGGGTTACATACTGGAAACTCAGCGTGGTTTCCAGGGCAGAGGGTACAACCACTAAAATGCAGTCCAAGTTGAATGGAGAACTAAGCACCAACTACACACAAAACAATATCTGCATCTTTCTCCCTTTAACACGTGCATAACTGTAGGCCTATTTGTTATCGTGATAGCGGAAAAGGGCGCAAAATAACGGAATTCGAACCAACCGCACGTGTCAAAGCGAGAAGTGAGCGCATAAACACAAACAGCAAGGCACAAAAACAGCATCAGTGTCAACACACTAATTGTGTTTAAGCAGCTGCTGTTTGCTACACTGTAACAAAAGGAAAAACTGCGCCGTCAGCAGCAGCAGCAACTCGACACAAAGTTGCGAACGGTGCAAAAACATTGTTTCCGTTTTGAGCGTTAAAAAAGTGCAGCAGGGCATTTCTAACATCACAAACAACACCGGGGACCTCATGTAGCCGCGAAATTTCAACAACAGACGGTGCGAAAACGTGCTCGTCTCCTCCGCGGTGGTGCACTAACTACCCGTGTGCATTAAAATGTGGATATTTGTTGCACGATCCTAGTGCACTGACTGCACTTTTCCAAAAGGGACACGCATCTAATTACCCCAACTGCTAATGTGAGCCCTGCGCTGTTGCATAATATTTGAAGTGACACACAGCACCTCGGCGCAAAGTGACACCCGTTAACTCACCCGTCCTTGCGTCCTGAAACGTGCAAGAAGCCGGTAAGAAACTGAAGGGAGGCGCAAAGTGAGCCCCACGTCGCCCCACGCTGCCTCAACCCCTTTCCTGTCAGATAGGTGTGTGTGTGTGCCGTGCTGGGAAAATAAGTTGTAGCTACGCACTCGTTAACGGGCCCGCGTTCAAACACCGCTATGCGCTTTCCAGCCCGGAGAAGAAAATAAATCCCCCCTCATTTGAACGGCTTAGAGGAAAGAAGGCAGGCTGAGATGAAGCCGATCAAACTCACCTCTAACGCCCGGCTGCGCTGAGGAGGATGTGTCCAACTGTCACCCTCCCTCCAGCTGGTACTTTATATATCCACAGCGAGTAAAAATAGCGCGTTTCACCTTCCCGTCCTCTGCGCAGTTTACCGGACACGGTGCGTACCCAGAGAGCACAGTGACACGGTGCTGCTGCTGCTGCTGGTGGTGGAAGCTCCCACAACCGGAGGAGAGGTACAGACAGTCAATATGGCTGACGAACTTACCGTACTGAGGCGTGGTGAGCGGAGTCCTGCAGATTCACCCCCCTCCCTCCTTCCCTCACCCCCGTGACAGAAAGTCTGCAGAGCTGCCTGCAGCGGGGTCCCAAACTTTATCACACCCGAGAAGGAGACGCTTTACAGCCTTGTAAACGATCTCAGAAGCCGTTGTTAGATAACACTAATGTTTAATAGTTTAATGCTCATACCCAGCGGCTAATAACGGGACACTAATCCGTTTAAAGAGATGCACATAAAAGTACTAAGTACCCACATGGTGCAAGAACTTAAAGGCTTGTTTTAAAAGGGTAGTGAATGAAACCTTAATCACACTCTCTTTAACACATTATTTGCACCGATAAAATAGATTCATTTCAAGTATGGAATACGGTGGCTGAGAACAGCCACTGCTACAAATAAAAAAGAATGCAAAAAAAAAAAAAAAAAAGACAACAGTAGTTACCAATGCCCAAAAAAATAAGAAACAAACTGAAACCCGCTGCAAATGAAAAAGAAACAGTGCAGATGAAAAAAGAAAAAAAATGCCACAACGGAAGTTACCTACGCAAAAATACTCCAACTCCATTACTGTGTGGTATCAGTACAAGCAGGTATAGATGAGAACTGAAAATATGTACAGTGGCCAAAAACAGCCACTGCTGCAAATAAAAAAAGAATGCAAAAAAAAAAGAAGTCAGTTACCGTTGCACAAAAAGAAACCAAAGCCTGCTGCAAATTAAAAAAAGAAATGTGTAGATTAAAAAAAAAAAAAAAAGCCACAACGGAAGTTCACAATGCAAAAAAAAAAAAAAAAGAAGTGGTGATGCAAAAAAAAAGTAACTTACTTCAAAAATAAAAGGATGCAAATAAAAAAAGCCACAAGGGAAGTGAGCTGTGTCTAGATCGTAAAACACCGGTGCATCATCATTATTGGTCCCCGGCAGCCCCCTACTATTATTGTTTTTTTTTGTTTGCATCCTTTTATTTTCACAGAAAGTAACTTTTTCCTTTTTTTTTTTTTTTTGCAATGCCACTTATTTTTGTGTCTTTAACTTCCGTTGTGGCTTTTTTTTTTATCTGCACTGTTTCTTTTTTTATTTGCAGCGGGCTTTAGTTTCTGTCTTTTTGCATTGGTAACTTCTGTTGTGGCTTCTTTTTTTGCATTCTTTTTGATTTGCAGCAGTGATGGTTCTCAGCCACTACAATGGACCATTTTCATTCAACTTCCATCTACAGAATTGTAGAGAATTAAATTTGAGAGGAGCAGTTTTACTTTCATTTCCAAAAATAATCCCACACCGGGGGCGGAGGAGCAAATTTTAGACCCTGACTTTTACATTGTGCCCTTCTCTAGTTTCACAGCTCTTCTTTGTAGTGCCATTGAGTTTGTTTACACTAAAACCTGCCTTTTGGTTGTACCAATGTGAAAACAGTTTATTGAAAGCAAACTTTTTAAAATCCGCCAGCTGAATGGAATCTTTTGACACCATTTTCTTGCTGTGTAAACTGGCAATATGATAATCCTGTGAAAACAAAGTCACAGCTGAATTTGCACATGCATGGTACAGTGGTAGTAGGAGGGCTAGAACAACAATGGTGGACGACCAAACTGTGTTTACCCTGTTAACTCTAACACTCCTCCAGACCGAGTTATTGCTTTGTGAGCGTTGGTTCGCCGTGTCTCCATGTTGGCTTTCACTCCTGCTCTGTGAAGAAAGTGTTTGTGTCTGTGTTTACACATGTTGGGGGGGGCGTGATTAAAAGGTGTCCTAACAAATGCCAAAACATTTGCAGCGGTGAAGCGTCTCGGTGACATTTTTTAACGGGCCTCAAAATCTCTGGCTGTGTCTCTGTTCACACATGTACCACACTGCAAACATTTCTGGAAGTTTACAGGAGTTTTGTGCACATGTAAATACAGCTTAGATAGAAATGTTTTAAGTAGCTTCAGTTTACGGACCCTGATGCCACTGGGCTGGGGTGGAAGCTGTGAGCAAATTTAGCATGAAGTTTTATATTCTCAAACCGAAATACAACACTGGTATGGTCCATCTTTTTCTTAAGTTCAGTTCTGTGTCTTTTTTTTCCCCTGTAAGAAAAATTAATCAACAATTTCAACATCATTCAAAGACCACAAATGGTGCTGTAAAAGATGGAACCGTTCACAGAACTAGTTTGTGGTCGAGCTCAGACAATTACAGTGGGCCTCAGGGGTGAGGCTAAATAGACCTAAATAGATAGTTAAACTTGTTGGTGTATCTGTTCTCACGGTTTGTGAGACAGGGCACAAAGTGAGTGTGACAAAGTAATTACTCAGGCCACCAGCTGCTTTACAACATATAGCGATGAGAAAACAACAAACAAATGAAGCACATGTGCTAAAGTCACACCACCCACGACTGCTGAGTTGAACGGGTCAAAAGTAGTATTTTGGCTGCACAGAGATCACTATTCTTTTGACACTGTGTTGTGGTAGGGATTCTCTTTAAACAAATATATTTCCACACTCATCTCTGGTGTTTTCTCCCCGCCTCGGCACATGAGCAGCGCTGCCCATCTCCTGAAAAAGCTCTCCATTCATCACCGCCTGCTGATGAAGCTTGATGAAAATAGCCGTGTTGTGAAACAGAGCCGTGTGGTTGTGAGGAGGAGAGATGTGTCATCTCTGAGCTGTGAGTCACTGGCATACAGCCTGCCTCAACCTGAGTTCATGATGAGAAACACACAACAGGACACAGCCGTCACTGATTTGGAATCTGCTGCTGTGGACTGATGACCTGAATGATGCCGAGTTGAAGCCCATGCTGCTTTTAAAACAATAAACACTAAAAATCTATTAACTTTGTCCACATGCATTAGGTTATCAACATTAACTGAGATGTTTAAGTTTTCACTTTGGGAACAATTAAAAGACCACTACCTGAAGACCTGAGGGCTCTACTAGGCTCATACAGTAAAAGCAAATCAGACAAATAAGAAGGACCAAATCTACTCTAAAAGACACAGGGAGCCAATGCAGAGATTTTAACATTGGTGTGATTTACGAGGTTCAAAACAGTGTTAAAACATGTTTCAACATAAAGGGTCCTGATAATCCAAGTCCAATAACAGACTTGATTTGAAGAGTGAAGGTTTTAATCTTTTTTCTTTTAGGTTAAACCCTGTATGCCTTCATTGTTGCACCGACTCCTGTAATATAAGTAAGTGGGTGGCATACTGGTGCCATATGGTGGGGAGAAGTTTTAACATCTATGTAGATAAATGGGAGATTAGGCCAAGGCTGTCACTGCTCATGTACTATGTGTATTGATACATTTAGGTTTTGTTGGCAAGGTGCCGGTTGAAGACTCAAATTTTCCAGTCAGTGTAGCGAATTTAAATCAGCTCTGATTGAGCATGAATATCTAATTTGGTGGAAATCCCCTTAAAGGGCCAAGTTATTTATCTGCTTGTATTACCTTTACTTTTCAGAATAAATTAACCCCATAGTCCTCTATTGGTTTTTTAAAATAAGAATTCATAAATCATATCACATGTACACTTCTCATTCGTAGTAAAAGCAGAGTTACAGATGAGGCTTCTTTTAATGCAGATTTTATTCACTAAAATTCAACTGAATTTGACATTTAAGGTCCACAATATACATCCTTATACAGACAATTGAATTATCTGTTGTAATCTTTCTTTGGAGCTACTTATTTTAGATGTTCCTCACAGCACGGAGGACACTTCTGGGTTTTTCTCAGCCCAGAGTTTGTTGGAAGTGATGTGCTGTTACATTAGAGCTCAGCAGCTTCACCTTGTAGAGAAAGAAGACAGTTGCAAATGGAGGCCAGATGATAATGGCAGATCTCTCGGGAGGCTGAATCATCAGGTTGAATCTCTGGCCTATTAAATTCCTATAAATAATTCCTATAAATGTGGAACATAGTGGGGAGAAAAAATACTTCCCGCTATGTTATAAAGACGCTGGTTATTTAAAAAATTTCACATTATGCAGCAGCTTAAATCGATAGTAATGTGACAGAGAGGAGGCAGACTTCATCATGTGGGTTTTTGTAATATTTTCATCCTTTCTTATTTATATAATTCATTTAGTCTAATTTTTACACCCTTATTATTTTGCTTATTTGCTCAATATGGGAAAATGTCAGCTCTATCATGTACATTTTTCCTTTCTATTAATAGTCCTCCCACACTCAGTTCCTCTTCTCTTTGTTTCCTCTTCTAGGCCGTGTCCTCTCAGTATCACTCAGCAGTACAAAAGCAGTTATAGGAAGTAATGTAGTACATTAAATGAGATTACAGTCTAATCTCATGGATGCACTCCAGGGACTTTGTAAGTAGCATTAATTCTCCTCTAGTACGACCAGTCAATTGAAGTCTTTAAAACCTTTTGTAGAGATTCCAAGTCAAACTAAGTTCATACAGCCTGAGAGTGCATTAACTGGTGTCACCCTGGCTTCCTCTTGTCTGTATACATGAATGTTTATATACAAATATAAGTCAGAAATGATTCTTACTCAGTAAAAATGATAACAATGACATGCTTGACATTAAATCTAAAGTTCTTTTCAAATGCGTACCTCTCAGATGGCTTGGTGCCTTACTTATCCATGTTTTGTTGTGCAGCACTGACCCCTGGTGGCCGCTTTTGGACTTGACAGCAGTTTGGTGTCCATGGAAACACAAGATACAAAAGCAGACCTCCTGCAGTAAAGACCTTGCTCCTAAACAGGATGAGGCCTCTGTATGAATTATAATTGTAATTATTATAAAAACACAAGATTAAATGTGCCGATCTGTTGAGCTTACAGCCTATTAAACTCTTACGGTGTATTGGTTTTAAATTACTGGGTTTTAGAGATTGGAGAGTGGACAGACTGGAAACAAAATTACTTGCCATCGATTTTGAGCTATTCTTTTGAGTCATTTTCAAGAAAAAAAAGTCAGTTCCAGCTTTAAGACAGAGCATGTGTTTGTCATTTATAAAAGTTAATAGATAGTTAGAATTTTCAAGCTCAGTCTGATAAATCTGCCTCACAAAATCTCAGAAAGTTTCACATTTTGCGTGACAAACAAGAGCTTATGTGGATGAAATAAAATCTTTTTCTGTCCGTTTTCATTAGCAAACCCACTCAAAGGTTATTCCATGTCAGCTCTC